AGGACAGATCCTGAAGCTGAGGCTCCAGTACTTTGGCCATCTCATGAGAAGAAAAGAGTCCTTGGAAAAAACCTTGATGTTAGGAAGGTGTGATGGCAAGAGGAGAAGGGGACGACCAAGGATGAGATGGCTGGACAGTGTCTGCGAAGCAACCAACATGAACCTGACACAACTCCGGGAGGCAGTAGAAGACAGGACGGCCTGGCGTGCTCTGGTCCATGGGGTCACGAAGAGTCGGACATGACTAAACGACTAAACACACGTACCTTGTGTTTGAGACCAATATTCTGCACTAACAGAAGAAGGGGGAATTTTAATAGATCACTTTAATCTTTTTTATTTTGATTAGGGGAAACAATGACCTTGTTTTTAATATATGCCTTTCCTTCTTTCCTTGTTGACCTCATAATCTTGTTTTCAGTCCCAAAGTAATGACAGAGGAAATAATAACAGAACAACACAGATATTTGGCAAACTACAGGCAGCTTGTAGGGTTTTATACATATTTTGTTTATTTTTTAAAAAGAAAGGTACATCTAGATATTCAAAATAATAAAATACCACAAAATACATTCTAGATATGTTATCAGTGCCAAAAGACAATGACTCATGTCTGGCTGGCAAGAGAATCTGCAGTGCCTTTTGCTGTGATGATATTGTCCTGTATCAGCTACAGTTTCTGTCAGGTTCAGGAGGAGGGAAGAAAGAGGGACAGAAACTATTACTGGGAACATGTCAGCAGAATTGGGGTTGCTTTTCTTCTTAGTGGCTCTTTGGCCAGAAATGAGTAGTTATGATGACACAAAGGTGGAAGGTCTCCCTTCCCTCATCTTGCTGACAGAATCACAGAACGTGTATTATAGATATCACACAGAGAATATATGAAATGCCTTTCACGTGATGGATATGTCTGCATTACTATAATATTTAGATTACTATATTAGCTCTGTTTCAAGCACTGAGTCCTGAGCTTCTCTCCCCCCTCCCCATGATATCTACAGCAGAATGGTTCACAAAGCAACCATAAGGGTATGCCTATAGGCACTACTGATTACTTCCATCTCTGCTGGAACAAGAGTAGATTAATTACTTAAGCAGATTAATATGCATATGGCCCATGTCATCTAAGGCTTCCCACAGGTCGGGAAACTAGACCAGAATCGTTTTGTTTTTCTGCAACAAGAACACAACAACTATAGAACACTCCATTTATTCAAAAACAGCTATGTCTAGTGCCACCTGGTAGCTAAAGAAAGGAACAAACTAGTCCCATCCCCTCGTTATAGCTGTCTTAACACAGACTGTGATAGTTTAAAAAGGAGAACATCTGCTATATACAAGGCTGTACACTCATCTATTTTTCTTCTGAAATTATTGGTATGTTCCTTAAACCAACGTCTATTTGCAGTATAGTATCTAGTGTCTCCTGCTTTCTGAATCCAGACTGAATACTGTATCTCGATTTCTCACTCCATATAAACATTGAGCATCACTTTATTTAAGACAGGATGTATTACTATAGGGATTTTTTTTTTCATTCTGGGAATTAGGTAATTAAGAACTTCAGAAGTTCTCTTATACTGAATGAGATCAGTAGTCCATCTGGTTTACTATTGCCTTTGCTAGCCTATAATCCACCCACATGATGAAGGTACCAAGTTCAGAAAAGCTGGTCTGCACCAGCTAGAGGTGGTTCTCCAAGCTTTCAGGTTCTCCAAGTCCTTGTGGGAGATACCAGGGACTGAATCTGGGATGTTCATCATGCAGAACATATACCCAGGATGGACACTTCACACACATGCACACACAAGAGAAAAGTGTCCCCCTAACAAAGGAGGGCATGGATCTGTGTGACATATACATGTGCTAATTTGTATGTATAGATGTAAAATTGGAAATAATGACTATCTTTAAGAAGAAATCTAAAGCATCTCATTATGATAGGGTACATCTGTGACTAGGTGATTTGTACAGGACTGCTAAGTCTGCTATCAAAGTGCTAACTGCATTAACAAGGCCTCTGTTCTCCCTTCTTGAAAACAGGCTTAAATCAGACTTGGACTGCATTTCCCCTTGTATAATGCAACAGAGAGTAGACTCCAAGGCCTCCCACAGAAACTGTGACCTGTCCTTCATTCTGCAACACCTGTCTCATGTCAGTCCTGGCTATAAAGCTATAAGATCCTTTTCATTCTGAGCACTGGATTGCTGTTGGAAGCTCCTAAACAGCCCCCCCTCAACTCTTCTGGTATTGTGGGCTTATGGAAGTTGTAGTCTGACATATCTGAGAGTGTCAGTACACTGACTGTTCTAGGCTTTTTCCTTGCTTGATGCCTTTCCAGATGGAACTTACAGGAGTTCATGCCAAACAGGATCTGTGGCTGATGGTGCGTAATCAGTACGAGAGACACAGACTGTCCACACAACAACCATGTGTGGACCAGCTCTTAGGGGTAATATCTGGTTCTTTTGCTTTTAAAGCTCAGCTTTCTAACAGCAGTATGACGGAGAATGTGGTACATAAGGTGCATGAAGGCAAAGATGGACTACTTATAAACATGACCTACTTTAAAATTGCCAGATAGTGAAATGTCTCCCCCATTGCCTCTTCTCTCCTATTTTTCTTATTAAAACAGACACCACACAGCAGTAGCCTTGTAAAAACAGCAGGAGAGGAATAAACAAACATCACTTTACCATAGAGTCAGTAGAGGAGCTTGTATGAAGATACACTCGTGCACCCCTTCCCTATTCAGCAACTATGATTATCTCTTTCAAACAGGGACCATATTTTTCAACTGAGAAAGCACGGAAGGTGATTTTAACCCCTTCTTTCACTCTGAAAAACAATAGGAGCTTTGCCATAGCCCTCCTCCTCTTATGAATTTTTCGAGCATTTAGATCCGTTTGGGGACACCTTATACTAGCAAATTAAATTAGAGATGGGTATGCATTAAAAAACAAATTGCCAGATTCATTCAAAAATCATGAATTCATTGATTTGTATTCACACAAATCAATGTCTTGATGAATCACAAATCAATGCAATGTAGTGATGTTTGATTCAGCACTTCATTTGGCTATCAAGCAGCCCCCAAGGCATTTTATAGGGTTTTAAAGTAAAAAAACAACCAAAAAACAAATTGACAAATCAATTTATCGATTTTTCTCAAAAAATTCATAAATTTGTCATTTAAGATTTGTTGACCTTGACAAATCATGAATCAAAATGAATCACAAATTTTCTGATTAATGCCCATCTCTAGATTAAATCCTTACAGTTCAGGAGAAAATGAAACAATCTTCTCCTTCCTTCCTTCCTTCCTTCTTCATAAAGAACTCATTAAATCAATAATTGTTTTGTATCTGGGAAGATTATCTAAATATGATGGCCTCAGTCCAAATGGAAATCCCAGCTAGAGCAGACTTGATAATAGAAACTTGCTAAGTCAACACTTATGTAGCTTCCTTCCACTAAGTAAGTCTACTCTAGTGGATACTTAACTGGATTTAAGTCCAAGTCCTCTTTCTTCTATGTGATACAAATAAAAAGGGTGGGCAGGTAACAGAGTTCTACTGTGAGATCAGTTCACTCAGTCAGTAATTTTGGTGTACTGGTGTTTCCATGTTCTTGGTTTGCTGGATAGTGAACTAGAGTGAGCAGCTGGCAGGCCTGGGCCTAGCATTAGGCAAATTTGCATGGCTATTTGAGACAGCAGGTGGTGGGGATGGGAGGAGGAAGAAATTTCATTAAATTTTTAAAGGACAGAACCATGTGTCTGACCTGCTCTATATTCTGTAAACCAGTGATCCCCAACCTTGGGCCTCCAGATGTTCTTGGATTTCAGCTCCCAGAAATCCTGACCAGCAGAAGTGGTGGTGAAGGCTTCTGGGAGTTGTAGTCCAAGAACATCTGGAGGATCAAGGTTGGGGATCACTACTCTAAACTAACCTGCTTCCCTCAGGTGTGGTAGCCAAGACTGTTGTCCTCTTGCCAAGTGTTAAACTACCATGCCATTCAGCTCCCATATCTGGGGAGTTCTGAAAATGGTGACTACCATTATGTTGGAATTTTGTAAGGAGATTACATGGAGTTTTAGCTGAATGAGTGATGCACAGTCTGGATAGCACTCTGGTGATTTTGTTGCATGTGCAATGACAACAAAGTGTTATTCTATTCTATTCTACCATTTTGGCCTTCAGCTCAGGTGGCAAAATGTACTAGACGGGCCATGTGGTTGATATAGAAAAGAGTCTGGCAGAATTTCTGTTGCTCATGACACTACAGGGAGGGGGTAAAGAGAAAACAACTAATTTGGGGGAGAAAACAACTAAAAGGGAAAGGAAGGGAGTCCAAAGCTATAGGACTGCTGAGAAAGCATCTGGAGGATTTTGTCCTTCAGCTCAGGTGGCAAAATGTACTGGATGGGCCATGTGGTTGATATAGAAAAGAGTCTGGCAGAATTTCTGTTGCTCATGACACTACAGGGAGGGGGTAAAGAGAAAACAACTAATTTGGGGGAGAAAACAACTAAAAGGGAAAGGAAGGGAGTCCAAAGCTATAGGACTGCTGAGAAAGCATCTGGAGGCTAGATTCATATACTGTATTGGGCTTTCAGTGACTTTCTCCTCACAAGCTGGCAAGGGTCAAAGTAGATTTTCCTGTGAGACATGTGCCATAACAGTCAGACTTGCAAATTAAATTCATGTTTATATTCCGGTGAACAATCTGCAAAAAAAGGACACTAAATACAAGATACATAGGTGAAGAAAATCACATGCTAACAAACTGACTTTTTTTTACCACTTCAGAGAGCATTCCTTTTGAAATGCTAAATGTATCATCTAGTTTGACCTTCAGTGAGGTCTGATAGAAAAATCACCAATGTAGAAAACAAACTACCATAAAAAATGATGAATGCACACCTTGTCTTCTTGACAGATTTACAGAACTGGTTTCAAGTCCACATAGAAAAGGGATTGATTATTTTTCATCTGGTTCAAAGTAGTTTTGGAAGATTTTCTACACTAAGCTGACACATACTTTTTCCTGAGGTAGGAGCTAAGGCACTACCCTGACACAGCCATTCTAGGTGGGTGCTGGAGTTTCTCTCCCAGCTATAGCCACTGGTCCTGGAGTTGATCACATCTGAATTGGATTCCAAAGGCAGGTCTGTTCTCTGGACATTGCTGAAGGTCACAACAATGCTGGGTATCTGGGCTGCCGTAGATGGTCCATAATAAGAGTCTTCCCCTCTCCATCCAAAAGCATTCAAATCTTCACCTGCCTATTGCATTAAGGAAAATATTTAAACCCATTAAGTGCCTGAGTTGTCACCAGGAAAAAAGAAAGCCGCATCGGATTAAAAAAAGACAGCCTGAGACTCTATCCCGTCAAGTCAAACCAAGCCTCAGGATAATGTACATACAAAGAGTGGAGTCAGTCAAGAAGAGAAACTAAATAAAATGCAAAGAAGAGAAATACTTCTAGTTTTGGGGGAGGTAGCAGTGTTAGTTTGTGGAAGGATATCAAGCAAAATCCAAAGAACCAAACAAAAACAAGACAAAAACATATGGCAGCTTAAAGACTTAACTATTATATTTTAATGTAAGCTTTCGTAGACATGTGCACTTCGTCAGACATATGATAAGAGAATGAAATGTAGAATGAAATAGCAGTTTCACAAGCAGAACATTCTAAATAGCCATTGGATTTTGGGGAATGATATATCTACATGCAGTATCTGGAAGTTGAGTCCTGATATATTCTGATATATTCTCCATGTTGGTTTCACTTCCCCCTGGTCTGAATCAGCTCATTAGACGGACAAAGGAGGGGGAGTGAGTGACAATCCTACTTTTGCAGTCCTTCTCCACCCATTGTCATGGGCTGTTAACAGTGGCCCTTCTGGTGGATATAGTCCTGATCTTTCTGGGACTGATGAAAGGGCAGCATTATAAGTAGGAAATAGATTGTGTCTAAGGCTCCCACCCCTGCTGAGTGGCGGATTTTCTATATGCACATGTAGGGCCTCCCTGACTTCTCTCTCAAACCACCTGTCTTCTCAGTCCAAAATGAGTGCATCTTGGCCATTAAATGAGTGTCCTTTATCCTTCAAATGAAGGAACATTGCTAATTTACAGAAAACCTACACACACTGATCAATACAAACTAGGGGACATCAGTGTGCTTAACCACGGAACAAGAAATGTCCCCACCTCCACAGAAGTCAAGAAGAAGGAAGACAGACATCTGAAGACAGCCCTTAAGGCCTGTGGATATCCAAAATGGGCCTTCAACAGGTCAATGTCCCAACCCAGCAGGACAATGGAACAATCTGAGACCCAGAGCAGATGGAAGAACCTGGTCATTCCTTCTGTGAAGATTCTTGATCATCCAGGTGATCTTTCTTGTTAGTCTGAAAAGTTTTTCTACCCATCCAAGTAGTTTCTTCAGTCTGAGGAAGCTATTTGGATGAGTAGCGAAATATTTCAACATAACAAGAAATAAGTCCAGTCACCATGACTCAACTTCCTGGTCATTTCTTACATGGCAGGTGTGACTGAAAAGCTCAGAAGGATTTTTAGTAAACACTACATATTCGTGCACTTCAAACCCACAAACACATTAAAGCAGAGACTCATCCACCCAAAAGACCAGACAGCAAAACAGAACAGAGCAATATAGTATATGCGGTCCAATGCATATACTCTCTGTCCTTTGTCCATCTAATGAGCCTATTCAGACTAGGGGGAAGTGAAACCAATGTGAAAAATGTATTAGGGGTCTCCGACCAACTCTCCTCAGACTGAAGAAGCTACTTGGACGAGTAACGAAACGTTTCAACCTAATATGAAAGAAATCCAGTTGTCATAACTCAACTTCCAGATAACCTCACCTGGATGACTGAGAATCTTCACAGATCTACATGCAATAATTCATGGCCTATGTGTTTTAGGGCACTGTTGTAAACTTTCTTCCAGGAGACAGAAAAAATTTAGGTCAATTTTTTTTCATTTTTAGGTCCTGCAATCATGCTGCCAAAATCAATGTGTGGGCAGAGTTGGCATCTGGGTCTGTGGCAGGGTTTAGTTCCCCCCCCCATCCGTGTTGCTGTTTTGTGGTCCTTTCTGCTTTTATATTTGCTTGAGGTTGGGGGCGTTATCTGTAGGCGAATATGGGTCTTCCACTAAGGGCTTTGGAGAGTGAAGTGTTTTTGTCAAAGATGGACTGGAGATAGTTTAGGACGCATGTCAGTGGTCTCAGTTGTGGACTGTAAGTGACAACTAGCAGTGTTGTGTCATTTTGTCTTCTGAGTCTGTCTTGCAGTAAATTATTTCTGGGTATGTGTCTTGCTTTGTTGATTTGTTCCTTAATCATGTGAGGTGAGTACTGTACTATATTGTACATTGTATTATATATCATTTTGTAACAATGCCTCATACAATATCAAAGGCACCTTTACTTGCTCCTCACGTAATGTGATCTATGTCATCTTTTGTCAACAATGCCCCTCTGTATAGGACAAACAGGACAATCTCTACAGAAACAGGTCAATGGTCATAAATCTAACATCAGAAACCACAACACACAGAAAACTGTCTCCAACCATTTCAGGTTGGACACTTGGTAGAAAATTTGAAAGTCACTATTTTAAAACAGAATGATTACAATCCAAGAACACAGAGGCAAACAGCTGAGGTAAATGTATACGCATGATGGACATCCATATACAGTGGTGCCTCGCTTAACGAGGCACCACTGTATATTCGTTTAACAACGAATCCGCATAGCGATGTCGCTTTTGCGATCGGAAAAGCGATCGCATTGCGATGTTTACATAGGCAAAACTTGCATTGCGATGATCGGTAAGCGTTTCGCTTACCAATCTGCGCATTGCGATGTTTTTTTAAACAGCTGATCGGCGGTTCCAAAATGGCCACCAGGTGCCCAAAATGGCTGCCGCAAGTCTTTTCGCGCCCTGCCCTCGCTTACCGAGGGCGCGAAAATGGCGGCGCTATGGAGGAACTTCGCTGAACGGTGCGTTTGGGCCCCATAGGAACACATTAAACCAAGTTTAATGCGTTCCTATGGGTTTTTCGATCCGTTTAGCGATGTTTCTGCATAGCGATGATTAATCCGGAATGGATTAACGTCGCTATGCGGGGCACCACTGTAAATGGACTGTAAATAAATCTGCATTTCTTACATCATTATCAAATGTAATACTTCTGCTGTCATCTACTGCCATCGTTATTTTCTTCATAACTACCAAGCCCCTCTCTCATCACAAGTCTCAAAGGTAAAAAACTGTCAGTATTCTCTACATTATCTACATGTGATTTCTTTGTCATTTACTTTTATATATTCTTTCCCCCCCCCTCTTGTGTTTTAACTAAATCTCCAGTCTCAATGCCCTGCCCCATCCCATCTCTCTCTCTTCTCTCTCCCCCCCCCCCCCCCATCTTTGCTCAGGCCTGGTGTCTGTTTTCTGTCTTCTGGAGGAAAATTTACAACAATGCCCTAAAACACTGGTTCTTAACCTTGGGTTACTCAGGAGTTTTGGACTGCAACTCCCAGAAGCCTTCACCACCAGCTGTCCTGACTGGGGTTTCTGGGAGTTGCAGTTCAAAAGCATCCAAGTAACAAAGGTTAAGAACCACTGCCCTAAAACACATAGGCCATAAATTACTGCATGTAGATGTACTATTGCCCAAGATTCTATTGATATTTAGAATATTCTGCTTGTGAAACTGCTATTTCATTCTCTTTCCATAAGTCTGATGAAGTGGACGTGTCCACAAAAGCTTACATTAAAATATAATAGTCTTTAAGATGCCACATCTTTTTGTCTTGTTTTCTTTTGTTTTGTTTCTTTAGTTTCCATTCATGATGCATTGATGTTTGCAATTTCAGGTGGGGTAGGGCTGTTGTGGATAAGAGTATGATGATACCCATAAGCTGAACAGGTGAAGATCATTTTTAAAAAAAACATGAAGTGTGATGATGTTAAGAAAGCCTTCCTGAATATTGATGTGACTTGCAATGTGTTACTTTTGGGTGTAGTGAGGCAAATAATTAAATTCTGTTCTTTCTATTTATAACATTAATACAAACATGTTATATAGGGAGGCAAATAATGTTTATTGTTATTTTACAAATGTTACTTTCAGGACCTTGGGGGCATTTTTCTATTTCTGAAAGATTTAAAAGGAATTAAATTGAATTAAAACTTGCATATTAGTAATGACATAGCAATATAATCTTTTAAAAACCCAGCTGCTAACATTAATCCATTTTTAAAATGCCAAAGTAGTTTAAAGTGTCACCCACAGATATTTAGGAATGCCAAAGCCAGATCAAAATAATTTTTTTTATTAGTAACATGTTCAATTATACTGTATATGAGAGCCCAGAATTTAGCTGTTTCTGAGGAGGTTCACCACATGGGTGAGAAAGACTACAGTTTTCTGCATCTCTACAGCACAAACTGAAATATTTGTTAGAAATATAGGTATGCCTAATTAGGATTAAATGCCAGTAACAGATAATTTTATAGTAGTTCATCTAACAACTCACACAGAAATGGGTACAAGTGGGTTACTATTCCATGTCTCCACTAGAATGGAATAACCCACATCCCAATTCCCGTGTTTGTTTGTGTGTGTGTGTGTGTGTGTATGTGTATGTGTGTGTGTGTTTTATTATTTTAATTTATCCATGTCTCCAATGGAATAACCCACATCCCAATTCCCGTGTTTGTTTGTGTGTGTGTGTGTGTGTGTATGTGTATGTGTGTGTGTGTTTTATTATTTTAATTTATTTTATTTTAATTTTATTTTTAGAAGTTGCTCACAAAGGTGTGAGAGGCTGATTGGCTTGTTCTTTTATTTCCTCCATGTTAGCAACATGCAAAGTCTGGTAAATATGGAACCACAAGCCTGAGACAACTGGTATTTCTCTTTAATTTGTTGATAACCCCAATAGATTCCAGTTTGAGAATTAAATACTTCTGTTGTGGTGGCAAAAAGGGGGTGGTGATAAAAGAAAATAATTGGAGTAAGGAGTGAAAGCAAAAGTGCCTTTTTTTAATGCCATTTCTTTTCTATGAGTAATGCAGCTAAAGAAATAGATTGTTAATCTTGGTAACTTCAGAGCAACTCAGTGCTATAAACATTTTTTTTCTGCCATTAAGGATTCTGTTTCCACCTACTCAAGTTGTTAGGTTTCACAGCTACAATTCTATGAAGATAAAAAGCATCCTGATGTTTAACTATATCTGGCATTTCCTTGCCACCCCTTATAGCTTTAGGAGCCTCGTGGCGCAGTGGTTAAACTGCTGTACTGCAGCCAAACCTGTGCTCACGACCTGGGGTTCAATCCCAGGTAGCCGGCTCAAGGTTGACTCACCCTTCTATCCTTCTGAGGTCGGTAAAATGAGTACTTAGCTCCCTGGGGGGCAATGTGTAGCCTGCATAATTAACTTGTAAACCGCCCAGAGAGTGCTTGAAGCACTATGGGGCCGTATATAAGCAGCACGCTTTGCTTTGAATACATTATACATTTTTTAGAAATTCTAGATTTTAAAAATTGTTTTCAAAATAATTTGTTTATCAGTGTTTGCCAGCTCTTGATCACTTTATATGATAATCATATAGGGAAGATTTATAATGAAACATTAATTTGGGAAGTGTATTGAGTTTCTTTATACCAGTCCTTCCTAACTGGGACATGCTTAATTTAGACTATTAAGGAACATAATTTCTGTTTATGATTGAGTCTCTTCAATTTGGCTAAATTTGTAGAGATTCTAATGTCCAAATACTTAAAAAATAAAGATGCAATATTTAATCCTGCTGAAGAACTATGTATATGTTACATCATGGTTGTAGATTTATGTATTATGCCTCTGAATTTCCTTAATTAATTACTACTGCTACTTGAGCTCATTCCTGTTGGCAGTGGTACAACAAGAAATAACCAGTCAGTAGAAAGATGCAAAAGATATAACTCACGACAGCTGACATAAACACATTTGGCACTTTGCTCTTTTGGAAAAGTTAATGCAAGAATTGAAGAGGAATAAAGATGAAATAGTCTCAAATGCTTTTGATACTGTTAGGATGTTATTTATTGCATTTATTCAATGAGGTGTGAAATAGTATGCTAGGATGATATCGATCAATATATGTCATTTGGTCATTTGTTTGCCTCTGATTTATGGTAAGGAAGGAGGGTTTGTATTATACTTCTTTGGTTGGACAAGATGATCATGACACTCTCTCAAGCCACCTCAAAGTGGCCAAGGCTGTATTGTTGTACTTTGATGCTAGCACTGTTCCCTACCTGGGACAGTTAGTTGTTGTACACAACAAGATGAGGGCAGTGTGTAATACAGTACGTAATTGTATTTCACAATCAAAACCAGTTTTGGGAGCTTATCACAGTCTCCTGTCACATTTTGGGTTCTTGAAGTTACTGAATTTTCATTCTAGATTCTCAGGCCAAGATTTATTACAGGCTCCACCATTTCACATACCCTTAGAATAAGCCTTCTGTGTTTGACACCATTAGGAAACAAATTGTCCATACAACAGCTTATTAAAACTGGAATGTAACTTACCAGGCTGTCTTCAAAGCTGTAAGCTCCAAAATGTAAGTCCTAGACAAATAAAAGTAACAGTTGAGCAAAATTTCCCAGTTCTATGTGAACAGGTTTCTGCCTCATGCCATTAACTGTGATAATTGTTTCTGAATTGTCATTTAATATACGTTTGTTTAGAAGTAAATCTTAAAGTTTGATGTAAGTGCACAGTGTGGAACTTTGTTGGCCAGTTCCATGCATACTCAGGCCTCACCTCTAGTGGTTTCAAGTGTCGTGCAAAGGATTGCACCTTGCTGGGATGTAGATGTAGTAAAGGCTGGCAGATGACTTCAAAAACAAGTTTGTGGACCTGGTCAATTACTGTTATTTCGTAAGAGCAGAACAGAAATGTAAAATAGCCAGAGCTGGGAGAATTTGTTACAATGTGATTAATAATTATGTGTAACAAATTGAAGATCTTAGAACTGAAGAGCTGAAAGGGATCCTATGGATCATTGAATCCAGCCCTGCTCAAGGAGGCACAGAGGGGAATCGAACTCCCAACCTCTGACTCCACAGCCAGAGACCAAAACCAATGAGCTATCCAGCGATTCAATTGCTTATGGTCATAACAACTGCCAAACACTGTAACTCCTTCAGAGTAACAGAATGGATCCATCATTTCTTTTCCCACAACAGTGCATCCCCATAACCCTGCTGCTGCATTAGTTCCTGAACTACTGAATTCATTCTTCAAAACTGAGACTGGACACAAAATGCACAGTTTAAGAAACCTCCCAGAAGTGCTGTCCATGACATTTTTGGGCACTGCACTGGAAATGCAATTTTGTGTCATCTCTGATGGTGCTGTGTGTGTGGAATGCTCTAATATCTTATTCTCAATGGTTCCCAGCCTTGGGTCCAAGATGTTCTTGGACTACAACTCCCAGAAATCCTGGCCAGCACAGCTAGTGGTGAAGGCTTCTGGGAGTTTTAGTCCAAGAACATTTGGGGACCCAAGTTTGGGAAGCACTGTTTTATGTTACAGCTGTATGCAGGGCCAGTGAAAGCGATCCCATGACCACTTCCAGGAGCCTTTCCCGAATGCTGTACATCTATCCAAGAAGCTGTGTATCTTGGACACTGCTTCAGTTCTGGTTTGAAAGAAAGATTTCTGAATGTTTAACAGCAGAATAAAAACCAATTTGCAGCATCTAGGAACCAGGATGGCTTGAGCCCCAGTTGGATGGGGCTTTCATAATGTTTCCAAGGAGAAATAGAAATAACACATTGTGTTCTTAATGCATTTTGCCCATCCCTAAATATTGGAATGTACAAATAAGCCATTATATTGAAGATTCCAACTATATCACGTCACAGCACAAAAAGAATGATCAATATTTGAAATATACGAGCATATGAACAATTAGGGAAAGGCTGATATATAGAAACACTGCTGTCTATTTTCTTTTGTCCCTCCCACCAAAACCTCAAATGAGCTGAAAATATGACATGTTCATCCTTCAGTACAAATAAAATTAAAAAGGAACTTCTGATATTCACCTCCACCATGGAAATGTCATCTGCATCCACTGAAGTCTATAAGAGAAGAGGTGGGAAGAGAAGATAACAATAGCATGCAGATGAGTCTTCGCTATGCTTACAACAAATGCTTCCCCCACTTTCACAGAGCATCCCATGCATTTTAGAGTGCTCCAGGGTTTCATACAGAAGTAGTGAGTGCTCCGTCATTAATCTTTATTTATGCATAGTGCAATTACAGCAGGTTAGTTGTTGCAAAGTTGCCAGTTTAAGGAAAAAGAGGGCTAGGTATTTGGTGTTGTGGTCAACATCCCAGGATTGGGAACATCCCTTGCACCAAGAACTTCAAGTCCAAATACACCATGATGCCTTTCCATAGACAACCCTCTTTGACTGTGAATGAGGTTGGAGGGCTTCAGCAGCCAATCACGGAACAGCAACAGAGCACCCCTAAGCAGGAGAACCCAGCTCATGCATTAATAGATAGAATAGATAGGATGGGCTGCAGCTCCATTCCCTTGCCTTCAGTCTGTAAGCACACTAGCAAGATGCAGAGGAAATGGTGAGGAGGGGGGCCTCAAAGCAGAAGGAAAGCACACAAAATGCTGGGCACAAAAGGAAGCCCTTGCACAAACAAAAGCACCTCACGGGGTGGGGGGGAGACTGCAAGCTCAACAAAGTGTGTGTTTTGGATGCATGGCAAGATTGAAAGCAGAAAGGGTGGGTGGGGAGAGAGGCTAACAACAGTCCCGGGCTGCACACAGTGTTGCTTTGTTCTCCCTCTAGCCACTATTTATAGGAGTGCATCATTTGGAAACATGAGTGTGGTTAGCAGGGACGCTAAGTGTTCAGCTGGATTCTTCCAAAACAGAAGCCACCATGTAACAACAAGCAAGAGTTAGAATGAAATGAAATAAAAAAATTGAAAAGAAAGAAGGTGCCGAATACACTGCTTACACACTACACAGCAATGACAGTGAGTGACAGACAGCTGGAAACAGGATGGTGGATGCTAATGTTGTGGGTTGTTTCCATTAGGATTACCAGAGCTACCTTTTTTTTCCTGCAGCATTAATAGCAATCCAATATGCAGGGCAGATGGAAGACGTCTCTCTCTGCTAAATGTGTGCATGTTAGGCTGCTGGCCAAAGCACAGGAGCAAGGCTGATGAAAAGAGGCCAACTACTGTATATGTTTTCTTGGGTATATTATAATGGTAAATGTTGATTTAAAAAACCCAGTTAGCTTGGCTGTGACATTTCTGTGGCTCAGTCAGTAGCATTATGTCAATGGCTGGATTTTCTTGCAGTCTTCTGTTCCTGGCGATGCTTCTGGTGTTATGTTCAGCTCCACAATTACATATGGAGTCCCTTGTAGGCATGGGTTAAATAAATACTTGATCAGTTGTGTTTTTAAATGGATGGGAATAATAACCTTTACTTTTATGAAATGCAGCTTGAGGTAAATCTAATTTAAATGGGGAGCAGGGAAGTGGTGACAGATTCAGAAGTTAAACTTCCTCATCTGCCGTCATTTGTATTCACAGACAGTACGTCCATGCATGCAGCCTCACTATCTTAGGTCCAGCCTATTTAATCCATCCCCCGAACCTCAGCAGTTTCAGAAATATTTGATGTTACATGCTGAACAGGAAAGGATGTGGCTATTTTCCTTCAGGGCTGAGTGATGCTCTCATGACAGACATCAAGTTCTGAGATGTGAGGAATGTCAGGACTTCCATCAAATGACAGAAATGCCTTGATCCCTTTTTAAAAGACAGTAGATTGAGCTGAGATGTCCAGTTTAGCTCCCATCAAATGACAGACATGCCTTGATCCCTTTTTACAGACAGTAGATTGAGCTTAGATATCCAGTGCATTGTCTTGCCTGGCGAGGTTAACTTGCTTTCAACCGGTGACGTCCAATGAAGTGGACAGGGTGCTTGCGCGTTGTCGTGCCACCACCTCCTCTTTAGACCCTTGTCCGATCTGGCTTATCAAAGCAGCCAAGCCGGTAACAGCAGAAAGGATCACCACAATAATTAATGGGTCTCTCCAGGAGGGCATGGTTCCCCCTGCTCTCAAGGAGACACTCATTAGGCCCATTAGAAAGAAAACTAATTTGATGGCAGACAAAATTGGGAATTATAGGCCCGTCGCCAATGTTTCTTTCGAGTAAAGTGGTCGAGAGGGCAGTGGCCCTCCTAGAGGAAACTGATGCCCTTGATCCATTCCAGTCAGGCTTCAGGCCACGGCATGGCATGGAAACAGCATTGGTCGCCCTGCAGGATGACCTCCTGACAGAGGCCGACAGGGGCAATATGTCTTTGTTGGTCCTCCTGGATATCTCAGCAGCCTTTGATACCGTCGACCACGGTATCCTCCTGGGGCAGCTCTCTGAGTTGGGAATCGCTGGGCTCATTTTGGTGTGGCTCAGTTCCTTCTTGGAGGACCATCCCCAGAGAGTGTAGCTTGGTGAGATGACTTCTACCCTGTGGATCCTCAATTGTGGGGTTCTGCAGGGCTCAATCTTCTCACCAAATGCTATCTAATATCTATATGAGGCCGCTTTCTTGCGAATGTTATTTAATATCTATGTGAGGCCGCTGGGGGAGGTCATCCGGAGTTGTGGGGTCCGGTGTCATGAGTACGCTGATTACACCCAGGTCTACCTCTCCTTTTTTCCTACTGCACTGGATGCTGTTCCAACCCTTGAACGCTGCTTGGGGACTGTTCTGGAATGGATGAGGGCAAATGGACTGAGGTTGAATACAGACAAGATAAAAATCTTGCACATGGGCGGCTCTGGCATCAGTGGGTTGGGAAACTCCCTCTCCTTCGGGGGAGTGATTCTTCCCACAAAGAGTTAGATTCGCAGCTTGGACATCTGCCTGGACCCAGATCTCGCCATGGAAACCCAGGTGGCATCTGTGGTCCGGGCAGCCCATTTCCATCTTCAGAGGATTGCCCAACTGCATCCCTATCTAGATGTGGGGACACTCACAATGCTGATTCATGCTCTCATAATTTCAAGAATAGACTACTGCAGTACTCTCTATGTGGGGTTACCCTTGAGGCTGATGCAGAGACTTCGGCAACCAGATTAATAACTGGGGTGAATTCCAGCATATCTTCCCCCACATTGGCTACCGGTTTGTTTCTGCATCGACTTCAAGGTTATGATGATAACATTCAAAGCCCTAAACAGTTTAGGACCTTGGTACGCCTGCTCCCAGCCAGATCTGTCCGTAGTACCCATTCTAGTACGCCTGCTCACAGCCAGATCTGTCCATAGTACCCATTCTTCACAGACAGGATGGTTGAGGGCCTTGACCCTGAAGGAGGCCCGGAGTGAAAGAACAAGAAACTGGGCCTTCTTGGCTGTCACCCCCTGCCTATTGAGATCTGCCTGACACCCTTGCTGGATGGGTTCAAAAGAGCATTGAAGACCTGGCTCTTCTGCCAGGCTTTCCCGGAGCATTAAGATCTCAGCCTTCTTTTTACCATCCTTTTTGCCATCCTCTCCGTCACCCCTTTTTACCACCTTCATTACCATCTGTTTTAGTTTACCCTATTTGGTTATGTATTATTTTTTTATTATGTTTTAATATTGTTGCTGATATTTTTGTTAGCCGCCCAGAGTGGCCTGGTTGCCAGATGGTGCGGGATAGAAATTCAATAAATAAATAAATAAATGGGAGTGTGGTGCGGGCATATCGTTGCATAAGGAACCTGGTGTTTCACTTATTTTTAAAGACTTCTCAATCATATCAGCAACAAACTCCCAACTTCCTTTTTACATATCTTATACCTGCTTCTGAAAGCCCTTTGGTTCTTGACTATCATTCTCATTAGCACTAAACCTATTCTTTTTTGGGGGGCGGGGGGGGGGAAATGACTCACTTAATGCATCCCTTACCTATTCTGGACAAGCTGGCTTTGCAATTAAAGTGCATTTGTTGTTGCATAACACAGCAGTCCCCCTCCTTCAAATGTTAGTGGCACAGACCCCACAGTGTCCTGTGTGGCAGAACTGACAGAAAGCCATAGCACAAATAAAAAGTGTGACTAGAGGCTAGAACTGCTTCTCTCATGCTTCTGAAGGAACAAGAGTACACACACACACAAACTGCTTGTCGTTTTAAAGCTGGAGCTTATTGCTGTAACGTTGCCAACAGGTGGCGGGTGAGGGACAAAGCAAGAGTGACATCACAAAGGGATTCAAACCTGCACATGTGTACAGCCTTCCTATGGTTTCTGGAAGGATGGAAGGAGAGGTATTTCTCAGAAATCAGAGGCAGACCAAACATAAGCTATTAAGTTTCCTTTTGCTTGCACTTCCAAATGGCAATTTTCCTATACAAATAAATTGAAATGTTTTAGGATAAGATGAGTGACACAGAGAAACCTTCTGAGATGAAACATGATATGGAATGATGGAGGGGTCTGGGAAATGATCTCTCTGAGAATACAACATTTAATTACCCTTTCAAATATCCCAGAATCATGGCTTCTCAGTTTAGATTTGACTTTGATGTCACTTGTTTCAGCCGTGTCTTCACCCATTTCATGAGAAACCGGCCCATTGGCACCTCTGGAATTCAAACTGGCCAAGTCAGCTTCTGTGTCCGTCCACTCCTGTATACACCAACACAAACAGTTTTAGAGATTCTCTGTGAGTTTTAATTATTTTTCTTCATTCACTTAAATTAGGTGTCAACTAAGTGCAGTGAATGAAAATAAAGAACATGAAAGGAGCATCAGTGTTGGTATCACTTAAATTAGGTGTCAACTAAATGCAGTGAATGAAAAAGAACATGAAAGGAGCATCAGTGTTGGTTTACATGTTCACCAGAATCAAGCAGTAAGTTTATTTCTGAACTATTCCCTTTCAGGATGCAAATGGAGTTCCACATGTTTGAGTATTACTTTAGTGGGAACAGAACCCCTACCCATCAGCAGAAAAACCACATCAGGAATAACATTACATTATTCTCCCTGACATGGTATTTTTCTATTTATTGGAGAATCCTGAACCCCTGGTACTGATCACTAGTATGTACCATTTTGACTTCATCTTTCTCCCTGTATCATGGATAGAGAGTATGTGGGCCTCCAGATGTTGCTGAATGTCCACAACTCCCATCTGTCCTTGCCAACATATCAAAGGACAGGAGGATGAAAGGGAAAAAAAGATGGGAAGATAATTCCCAGAAACCTTAACCCATCATGTTCTCCTGCTGGCTTAACCCATCATGTTCTCCTGCTCCTCCTCTTGTTGGCTGAGGGACTATGGAAGTTGCAGTCTTCCCCAAGCTCTTCCTACAACTGCATCTTACCACACATGAGAACCACCATCCACAGGGAGTCCTTTGCAGGCTCATCTAAACCAGTGCATACAACCTCCCAAACAACTTACATGGCGTGCTGGCTTTAGGAATCTGGGAGACGGACTCTGAAAAAATATTGTCCAGGGGACAACAGGAGACATCAGGGGCAGAGCAGAATGTGTGTGTAATCGAAAAAATATTGTGCCCCAAGTTCTGAACAGAGTCCAGGGGACAACAGGAGACATCAGGGGCAGAGCAGAATGTGTGTGTAATTCCCAAAATCCTTCAATCAGCACTGCCACTAGCCATGCTGGTGGGGGATTCTAGGTGTTGGGATCAAGAAGGGAAGTTTTTTCTAGATTCTGGTTCATGTGGGACTGTGGGGATGCCCCTGTCATTCTTGATCAGAGTAATGGGTCAACTCAAACTGGAGTTTTCCGAACCTCTGACAGACAGCTTACTTAGACAAGAGCTGTTTTGGCGCTGGTCTTATGCACTGAAAGTTGGGGAGTGAGTGGCTCTTCCACTCTCAGCATCCTTTGAATCTCTGACAGAGAGAAGCATCATGCAAAGATATTGTATGAGAAGGTCCCAATCATGTGCAGCCTTCACATATACAGCCACGAACATGAAGGATCGTTCTTTGCAAACATTTGCATGATTTCACTAATGGGGGCTGTACATGTGGGGGTTGCCACATTATATCTGAGCCAGTTTAGTTCTGCTCCCACACGTATGAGCCCACATTTGAAGAGGGCTAAGGTCCTGAGTTTGTTTGAGACTTCATGTACTCCTGCTTCTTTAAAGCTCTTAGCTCCATAGCAAGGAAGGAATTCTACTGTAACACCTAGTGAAGGTAAAAAGAGAAGGGCAGCCTACAAATAATAAACAAACAAACAAACCCTGAAGTGAACAAAGAGTGGGTGGATCATTAGAGATCTTGCCTAAAATCTCAGGAGTGTAAGAATGAAAGAGATGTGGGATTAGGTTAGGGTTATCTTTGGGGGAAGATTTGCTGGAGTTTTTACAGCCTTGCGTGCTGACTGTCATTTGAGTGACTGGGGGGGGCACTTTTCTGGGTTGGAGTGATGATCAATCTATCCAGAACCAATTGTTTGCTCCGTCCTCTGAATTAAGGAGAGCTTCTTTCCTACTCTTTTAGTATGTTGAAGTTGTTTGTTTGTTTACTGTTGTTCACAACTGTTGTTGTTGTTTAGTTGTTTAGTCGTGTCCGACTCTTTGTGACCCCATGGACCAGAGCACGTCAGGCCCTCCTATCTTCCCCTGCCTCCCGGAGTTGGGTCAAAATTATAGGAAGGAGAATAAAAACATTTCACTACATTTTATTCTCCTTCCTATAAATGTCTCAGAGTGAGTTACTAGCGTTGCTTTTGTGGATGACAGCTGAGGGAATCAGAGCTGAGGGAGCAAAAGAAGATGTGTCTCTGCTTTAGCTGTCTTTAACTCAGGCTGAGGCATAGTCGTGAAGGGAAGACACGCTCTGGCAGTACAGGGAGAACAGCAGCAGCAGTTCCCTCTTTCTCACCGGCACATGCCTCCGATAATATGCCCTAGACTAGGCTTGTCCAACCCACGGGCCGGGGGCCACATGGGGCCCAGGTCAGCTCCTAATGTGGCCCAGTGAAGGTCCTGCACCTCCCACAATGCTGTGCTAGCGTTCCAGTTCTGCTACCCAGCCTCTCTCCTGGTGAAGAGGAAAGTGTGTGAGTGGGTGAGTGAGGAAGCAAAAAAGAGCTGGAAATACACAGCGAGGGGAAGGCGGAGAGGGAGGAGCTGCCCGCCCACCCGCGGAGTGTGTGTGTTAGGTGGGAAAAAGCCAGCCTCAAACTCTGGAGCCTTAGCGCCAAATTCGCCCCGCAGCGCAACAGCCAACTCAGTGCCTGGGGGGGAAGAGGGTAGCTGAGCCGCTCGACGCCGTTGCTGCCCGGAGTAAGGGAGGAAGTCAGCCCAGTGGTTTGTCCATCCAGTTGCCCGGCTTTGGGTTTTCCGGCCGAGCAGGGAGAAAGGCAACCCGCTGCAGGTCGGAGTCCAGAGGGGAGACCGACGCAACCGTGGTCGCCGACTTCAGCGGGGCTGGCTTTGGCTGGTGAAAGGCTGAGTGTAAGTAGAAACTTCAGAGTTTCTACTTGGGAAGCCAGCAGCATGGAGAGACATGGCAGCAGGAGGCAGGAGCCTGGTGGGGGAAGGCTCTGTCTCCAGCCGTGCCGCGGGGTCGCTCCGTGCTGCTAGCTTTCCAGCCAGGCTGGAACCAAATATCGATGCATTGGTGGCTGAGAAACAATGTCAAACATCTCACTAACTTCGTTTCCAAGTAAATTTAATATGTTAACTATCTTTTCTATTGGGTTTTTTTTTTTTGATGATCAGGTATAATTACTGTTATTTTATTTTATGTGTGGCCCAAACCAAATTTTCATCTTCTAATGTGGCCCAGGGAAGGTAAAAGGTTGGACACCCCTGCCCTAGACCATATTTTCGAGAACAACTCAAGAGACCTAGAAAAACAGATGCCTATAAAGAGTGAGAAAGGTGATTCCGAGGAGTCTATTTATTTACTATTTCTCCCTCCTCCTTATCCCTTTTTGCCATATTTTGGATTTTTTGTATGTGTATGTGTGTTGTGTATGTGTGTTAAAGTGTATGTCAACATAATGCTGGAAACCTCCCCCCCCAACACTGCCATTTTGGGCAAACTTTGCACACACGTAAACACACAAGTGAGTGTGCAAGCATTTTTTTGGGGGGGGAGATTTACTCTCCATTCCTGTGCCTGTCTTTCAGTTCCAATCCAGTAGAATGGTAATAGTTTGAATCCAAATCCCAGTAAATTTCATGCTCTTTTGGAAACAAGTGATAGAAGGAAGGGATGGGACAAAGTGGTACAAATGTTCCATCACAAAGATTTCCTTAGTCTTCCAGGGTAACAAAGAGACAGAACTCAGGAACTACATTTCTTCAGGCTGTTCAGATATTTAAAAGGATTGAAATACCGTATATCTGCCTTACTGCAAGCAAAAGAAACAAGGAACAGGGAAAAGCATTTGTGGAGGCACTATGATATTTATTTCTCTTACTTATAAATGTTTATGTCATATAGATGTGTTCTCCAAACTGATTCAGCCTTACTGCAAGCAAAAGAAACAGGGAACAGGGAAAAGCATTTGTAGAGGCACTATGATATTTATTTCTCTTACTTATACTGTAAATGTTTATGTCATATAGATGTGAGTTCCAAACTGATTTCTGTTAACTCAACCTGCTTGGTTAGATTTTAATCAGGGATTTCAAATTTATAGAGTTAAGAACCACTACAGCTGAAAGCCCCTCTGTAAGAATGCAGAGCACGTCAATTTGCCATAAAAGCACACTACTAAAAAAAATTGCAGCTTAGAAGGCATAATAGCATTTTTGTTTTTCCAGAGCTTGTCTTTAAACACATGCACATACATTTGTGCACGCATGCACGCACGCACACATGTACACACGTATCTGCTTGAAAAATACTATGCTAATGTTCCTTTAACAGCACAGGAAGGGAGTCACAGACTCCAAAGTGTAGAACTGCTTCCGGCTTCCACACAAGGAACAATATTTGGCTGTCAAAAGCTTCTGGAGGGAGGAATTAGTCCTTAGATGGATTTGTCAATTTGTTTAAAGCTGCCAACAAATTTTTAAATTTTCTGGTTCTTGATCTGCAAAAGCATTAGCCCTTTCATTCAGAAACATGTGCCCTTCAGCTGTGGCTTTATTGGAGTAATAAGCTGTCTTTCTCAAACATGCCAGCCACTGTGAGCACAATTTTTTTTAATGAATTTAGAAGCACAAGCCTTACACAACTCAGGCCTGGATCCCCCAGGAGATCTGAAGAGAGCCTCTGTGTGATCAGAAGCTTCTGGCTGGCTAGACTAGCTACTGATTCTGACAGGCACTACACTCAGATTTTCTCCTCCACTCCTCTCTCCCGCTGACTGCCCTCCCGTTCACCCTGTGGTACTTCAGGGAACTTCTTGTCGCACTGGAGAGGAACAAGACTATAGACTATAACTTCATAAATTCGTTGTTCTTATTTGGGAACGAAGGTGATGCTAAGACTTTCCTATTCTTGTTTTGTCCTGTTAGAATGATGCTTGCAGTATCGAAGCAAAGGTGAGAGGGCATAGAAAAATGGCAGGAATGGCCCCTCCAGGTGACTAGAGCAATTATCGACATAGGCGGATTGTGGCAAGAGCTGAAGGAACCCCCTCCATATTATAGGGAGAATCCCTTCCTCCACGAGACACAGCTAGTTGTCAGATCCAATCACTGTAACAGCCAACAAAGGGCACATGAGTTGAGAAGCTTTGCAGTTAGCTTTCTTAAGCAGTAAAAGATATGTGATTATGATCTAACATTCTCCCATAGCTTTGCAAGCTCTGGATGTGCTTTTGTTTGGTGATCAATCTTGAAGAGGAAAAGTGGGATTTTATTTGCACATTGACTGTGGAAACATGGCCTCTTGGGAGACTATGCCTTTGGGGGTAATGTTTTATCCTTACACACACACACACACACACACTTTCAAGAACAAAAATGAAACTACCCTTATGCATTTTATCTCAAGAATATCTTACATATGAATAGCAATTATAATTTTCTCACACACACACACACACACACACACACACACACCGAGAGAGAGAGGGGGGGAGGGAGGAGAGGGAGAGATATTTTCTGAATTGGGCCTTCTCCTCAGAGCCCAGTTGGCAACTGGAAGTGAAGGGTTTGGTAATTCCAACAGATATCTCCAAATATTGTTGGAATTACAAAAAAAAACATTGGGAGGGCCTGACGACTGTGAATCCTTAAGGAAAAGATGAGGAACTTTAGTCCTTTGCCTGGTGATAAATTTAATTTCAAAAGTTACGCTGCTGGTGTAACCATGGAAAAAAAATTTCAGCCATAAATTCTGGTTCCAGCCAGCTTTCAGTGAAAATAGCACTGCCTCTTCATGTCCAGCAGCTGTGTTTCACAGATTTTTCACATGTCCAATCAACATATAAAATCAATTATCTCCAAAACCTAAAAACTGGAGTAACTTTATAAAGGATTGCATCCAGACATATGGTAGGTATAAATGATGATTTACCATTATTATAGGTGAGACTAGGTAGCATATAAGGAAATAAAACTAAGTCAGCGAGAAAAAGAAGAGTGCAATATTTCTGAGGCTGAATAAAATGAATTTAATTTTATTTACAAACAGCTGACACATTCAAGAGTGGATTTTGTACATTGACTATTTTGGTCTTTTTAAAGATCAATGCTGAGGGCTCTTTAATGATTGTGACAAGATTTTAGTGAACTCTTTAAAAATACTTTTATGTTCACGCCTGAAGTGAATAAAAGTACTTTTCGAAGAGTTCACTGTAATCATACTTTTATGTTCACACCTGAAGTGAATAAAAGTACAGTACTTTTCGAAGAGTTCACTGTAATCAGCATATTTTATATACTTAAATGTTGTCAGCTATTTGTTTTACCTTTAATAATGTTGACTTTTGTTTTACTTTTTTTGTAGTTATAAGTCCTAAAGAAATCTTTCTTTTGTTGTTGCTAAGTAACTATACTCTTTCTTCGTATCAGAGAAGTGCACAATTTAAAATTAACACATATGAAATATAGGTAAATTTAAAAGCAAATAAAAATGTTAAAATAATTAGAATATTTTGGACCAAAAAGCAGGCTTCCCTGAAGAGTAAAAAGCATTGCAAGTGAACTCGGGCATTCCCTGGGCAATTGCGTATAGCTGGTCACTTCACTTCCAGAAGCATTGCACTGTAAAGTTGCTGATAAGGAACCATAATACTATTAATTTCATTTGACATCAAACTTTGGCTGATTCATTTTATCATTAGGGGAGGCAGCCTGAGGCTCATGTACAAGTGCCAGCCATGTCATTATATCCTGTTTCAACCATTCCCCTTAAGTTCTCTGGACTTCTTATCTGTTGTAAAGGAAAGCTGGGTGTGGCACACAGACTGTTCAATACCCCATGAATTAGACCACCACCCTCAAAATCCACAGAGAACCACTGTCCCATTGCCAGTGCTGAAGTAAGATTCAACAGCCAATCCAATTCACTTTTACATATGGAATGGAAGAAAGGGATGCCTTCTTGTCCTTTGCTTCAGGCAGGAAAATTTTCTGGACTCGCCCTGCCATTTGTTATTTACTCTCCTTTCTTTCAATGTCATAGTGGTGCAAATAAGACCAAAAAAGCTTGCATTCAACAGCTTTTTTGAACTAGCTGAATTTTAGCATTATATTTAGTCCTTGACAAATTGTGAGGAGTCTTAACTGTGGTTTACAGAAACAAGCTAAATTCAAACTAAGATTTATGTATCTTGCTTCAAGAAATCATACTAACCAGTATGTAGGGTTCAGGATTAAGTATTGACTCTGTAATGGAAAATTGCTTTTTCAGAATGCCATCCCCGCAATCCCCCATTGGCTACACTGGCTGGAAGACTCTGGACATTTTAGCCCCCCTCCCACGAAGTAATTATTCCAGACTCTGGACTGATAAACTGAAACAGAAGTGGAAGTTTCCATTCTCCTTACAGCCATGCCAGAGTGGGGTGAGATGAGTTGAGTTGAGGATACAGTGATGCCTTGTAAGACGAATGCCTCATGCAACGAAAAACTCGCAAGACGAAAGTGTTTTGCGTGGTTTTTTTGGTGATTCGCAAGACAAATATTTCTATGCCCTTGCTTCGCAAGATGAATAGAAAGGCATTAATTAAATTTCAATGCATTCCTATGGGAAACCACATTTCGCAAGATGAAATTTTCGCAATACAAAATGACTCGCGGAATGAATTATTTTCGTCTTGTGAGGCATCACTGCAGTACCCAAAGCTGCCAACATTGATCAGGTTTGTTGATGTTGTTTCATTGATTATTCGTTTGTAATGCGAAAAGTCTTTGCAAAGGTTTTTCATTATTTCATGACAGAAGCTCTCATAATAATGTTTATGGTTTGGTTATAACTAATTTTAAGAACAAAACTTATGGAAAAGCAGAACGACTGGAAAAGTTTGCTGTCTGATTTTTCATTTATGCTGTATGTTAAGATAAAGTAGACAAAGGATTTCCTTACAGATTCACTGTCTGAGACAGAAGATAGTTTTCGGTGTCCTCTTGGCAACCCATTTATATCAGAGGACTGGCTGGTGACTGTGGGACGTCTGGTGGAGGGGTTGCTGAAAGATCTGGAGTCCTTATGGGAAACTCTAAGCAGAAATCCAAGGCATGGTAGAAACTGTGCAATCACCATTCTAATAGATAAGAAATTGAACAATCAGTTCATTCCCAATGTATACAGAACTATAATTTTAAAAATATCTGCACATATTATGTGTTCACATTCTATTCTGCATAAGGTAACATGCATATTCATTCAAGACAGAAACAGACAATAGTTTGAAGATACAGTAGCAGCTTTATGAAAACTGGAAAAGCTATATATTCGGCTGTTTCCAGGACACTTGTGGATGAACCTGTAATAGTGCAATTGCCTTGGTTTATTCACTGTACTTCAACAGGGCCCCCGAGAAAAAAATACATTCTGATATTTGTAACTTTTCTGTGTTTTCCTGTGTTTTAGTCCTTTTCTTATCAGAAAGAAAAATCCCTTGTGGAGGAGAAGATAGCATACCTGTACAATGTTATTTAAACTGGTAATGCTAGTAGCCCTCCATTTGAAATCACCCTTGGTTATCCTAAATCAGAGATGATAGACCTGTGACTCCCAAACAATTCTGCTGAACAATGTCTTCCAGCATAGCTGACTATCAGTACAAGAGTGGAAGGACCACATATTCCCTGTTCCCAATCATTACAAGTTTTCTTTACAGCCAATGAAATGTTACAGCCAATGAAACGTACCTGTATTTGGGATGGGCAATTGCGTAAATGATTGGGTTGTGGATGGTAGAGGCCTTGGCGATCACTGCGGGGACTGAGTTCATGTAAGGTGTGAGAAGATGGGAGTACCTAAAGTAATGGGGAAAAGACATTTTTCAGGTTTTGACTTCTTGATGTACCTTATTCTCTTTATGTAGTATCTTGTACATGTGAACACTCCACTACAAAATTTTCTTCAAGTGCTCGATGCACAGGGGCAAGCCAAACATAAAAAATGTTCTTCTGGATGCCCTTGAAATCTCTTGGGGACGGATTAGTATAGAATATTGTATAGACTCTCTCTAAAGGGTCTAAACAACATGGAAAGCTCTCCACCTACAAATAACAGACCAGAAAAAGCACAATACATACAGTAAAAGCAAAAGCCTCTATTGGAAAAACAGCTGGCTGTAGCAAAAGTACACCAGCAAATAACCATGTAAAACAATACACAGCAATACTTAGAAAAGTTCTCTAAAACCAGAACATCTTTACTGGAGGGTAGAAGACATCAAGACATTGGAGATGTCTTGATGTCTTCTGCCCACAGTGTGCATCCTGCAGTGGAAGATGCCCTGCTTCTGACCTTTGATAACTTGGGCAAGGGATGAAATGAAGAGCTGAGAGCCTCACCCTTGTGAACCCAAAGGCAGGGAATGGGCAGGAATGTGTAAGAGCACACATTCCTCAAGGTTCAGTGAAGACAAGCTCTTTAGAGCAGAGATGAGCAACCTGTGGCTCTAGCACTGCATGCAGCCCTTAGCCTGCCATCATGTAGCCCACTGGCATAATTTCAGGAACCCTCTGTGAGTGATCCATTCAAGCCCCTGCAAGGGCAGTCTGTCTCCTCCTTCTATTGGATGGAAAGGAAGAGAGAGAGAGATTGAGATTTTCTTGGACAACAACTCCCAGAAATCCTGGGCAGCGCAGCTAGTGGTGAAGGCTTCTAGGAGTTTTAATCCAAGAAAACCTCGGTACTCAAGGTTGTGAACAACTGGTTTATTAAAAATAAGTACCCTGCTTGTATAAACTGAGTTTATAAGCAGTTAGGGAGACAATGGAAATGAACTAGCATTGGCCATCTGTTTCCTTCCTCTGACAGAAGATAAGCTGCTGAGTCATGCATTAGCTGAAGTGTCCACATCACCTTCAGGAGCTCTTCACACTGTGACTAAGCTTTCTGGAATCAGGAGCTCTTCACACTGACTAAGCTTTCTGGAATCATTCTGGCAGTCAACATTTTTCTCAGCCATTTAAAGAAAAGGAAATCCTCCTAGCTCTGTCTGTATCCTGTACACATGTTAACACTCTCCATGTCAATGTATTTCTACATATTTAGCTAGGCTGTGCCCTACTAGGAAGTCCTGTAATTTGCATGTCAACAGTGGTCCACTGTGTGATCAAAAACAGGAAGAGGATGCCCAAAACCTACCCCATTCATCAATTTCCCCACTCCAGTTGCTGTTGTGGAATAGAGACCTCCCAGGTCAATTCATAACTGCTTGGCCAACTGCAGAGCTTAAAAACATTACTTTCAAAGCAGTCATGCTTTGCAGGGGGAGGGGTGAGATTATGCCAGCCATGACCCAAAATAATGTATTGTCCAGGTGCTGACCATTTATCCCATGATGCTTACATTACTTCTTTTCCCATTTCAGGAATAATAATACTGATGATTACCCTGCAAAAGCCACCAGAGCGACCACAGAATACGGAGACCAGGAGATGACAAAAAATGAGATTATAACCAAGGCAATTTTGGCCATTTTCCATTCATTCTTAATTTTCTGGTAAATTCTTTGAGATTCTTTGCCACTGTCCAAGCTGATTCTTCTAACGGTCCTGCATAAAACATACATATAATGAAATGTCTCCATGCCCTCAGCATGGGATTAGCTAGTACAGCACATTTTAATACATGCCATGGTTGGCCTTCAAAGATCCACTTCCACATATATGTGGCTAATTTCCTTCTTTTTTGCTACAACTTCATAACTTTAGAAGGGTGGAGAAATTAGACTTGCAGATGATGCTGTGGTTAGATCCCAAAGACCAATGACAATCACACTCTTTTATCAGTTAAAGCATTATCTTCTCTAATGATAGATTATTTATAACAAACAGTTCACTACTCAATATTGTTCTCTTAGATGGGCAGTATAGCTTTTGAATGAATAGCCTCTTCCATCATCTTTACTTCTCCTATTTAAGAGGAGGTGCCCAGGCCACTGAAGATGATAATTGATAGCCTCTTCCATCATCTTTACTGTACTTCTCCTATTTAAGAAGAGGTGCCCAGGCCACTGAAGATGATAATTATCTTCTGTTTTCTTTTTCCTTATATAAATAGCGTATAAATAGTCAGACAACCATAAATGACCAGGAAATTGACTTCAGAACTGCAGCTGGCAGATCTGGCCTGTGAACTCTTTTTTTTTCTTTCTTTTTTTTTTGATACACTGCCAAAATCTCACTTAGGGCACATTGTTACTACCAATTCAAATCAATTTCAGACACGTTTATTTATCACACTCTCAATCAAGGGATTCTAGGAACTCTAATACTGTTGTGGGGCCTGAAACCCCTCAGGGAGAAACATTGGCACATTCATATAACTGCACTTGCCAGTTTATCTGGGGCAAATCATTTTTCAGTGTGCTTAAACCTCCAGTCTACATTTGTGTGTGCCACAAACAGCTTATCTGAAAGTGGAGTTTGCATGCAATATTCATAATTGATAAAGGCATGGGTACTTTGGCCCCTTCTCCCTATATTGTTTCCTTCTCTCCTTGTAGCTCCTCGCTCCATCTTCAGCTTTTCCAGTGCAAGATTAATATAAAGCTAAGAAAACTACAGTTCAGGGCCTCAGATTACATAGAGTTCTAAATGCAAAAAACATCTGATTGAATGGTATGTATTTTGGTAATATTCTGGGGCATCTTGACATAGCTTTGGGCAAGGTAGCAAAACTTTGATGGTCCATTGTCAACTCCTACTGTCCTTTATCACTGTCAGTAAAACCCAGGGATTCAGGGAGTTGTAGTAAAAAAAAATCCTGCAGTGCCAAAGGTTTGCCACCCATGGCTTAAGGCCTCAGCAAGCCTTAACCCAGTTCTGAGCTTCATACCACTGGTGCAAGAAAAATAAAGGGAGGTCATCCTTTGTACATGACAAGTTGTATACCGTTCTGCCCTTGGACCAGTTTGCACCAGCATTTACTGTGATACTTCTCTACAGCAGGAGAGGTAGAAGAAATAATTCAGTTAAGAAAATATATGCAACTTTGATTAATTAATGTTTTGTATTTTGAAGTGGTTTCAAAGCTCTGTAATAAATAAAACTCTGTGAGCAAAAAAAAGGAAAGGAACACAGATGATAAAGAGCAGAGAAAATTATTGATGTACTTTGTGCCGGTTGCAGATTTATGCTTCTTTGCAGAAGAATTTGAGCTTAATAAAAAGGAAAAGTATGCAGAGCACTGGTCCAGATGGACCATTGGTCTAATGAACTACGTCAGTTCTTAATTGTAAACCATGTTCCCTAATTCATCCTGAACATTTCTCCAATTAGATCCAGTGCTCCCCTGCCTTTCCCAATCCTGATTAATAGTAGAGCTGTTTTCTAAATCTGCACCAGTAATCTCCAGCTGCCTTTTATAAACTGAACGAGTGCGTATCAGTACGATGTGGACCATGCCACAGAGTTGACAGAGATTCTGTGTGTGTACTTCCTGTGTCATTTCAGTTTCGTGCTGGCCAGAGAGCACGATGTTTGTGTTTCAAATTCCATCCAATTTGCCAGTAAAAAGCAAACAATGGGGAGCTAGCTTCTAGGTGACTCACCTGTTGGCCTTCTTGATGGCTCTGAAGATGAACACATAACTATATATAATAACAATCAGGGGAATGAAGAATACAAAACAGAAGAGGAGCATTGTGTAGGCACGAATCGATGGGGTGAAGGTGATATAATCCCAAGAACAGGAAGTCAGGAGGCCCTCTGGAACATAAGCACCTTAGGGGAAAGATAGGGAAAATAGCTTTTAAAAAAGTCAGGTACATTCTTATTGAATTTAAAATTAAATTAAACTGATGGATTTTAAGCTTGACAAACCCAAGTGACTATACCTTTAAAAGTGTCATGATATGTTTCCTTACTATAGGTAATTGGCTGTTAGTTATTTGAAGCTAAAGCTGTATGAACGAGCATAGGCAGAGTTTTACAGAGCCCTGAGCTTCATGGAGAAAATATTCTCTCTCAGAATGTGGATTTATCTAAATAGATTGCTTAGAAGTAGGATAAGAATGGACAAAGGGAAGAAACTCTAGATAATTATTTTGGACAATCTGTCCTCTTCCTCTAATGTTACCCCGCAAAGTTAATTCTAAACTCACATAAATTCTAAATGTTCTCATGTGACATTTTTAACCAGGTCAAAGACAGCATACATACACTGGTTTAGAGCCTAGCATCTCTTCTGCAGGGGATCAAAACAGACATTAATGTGGGGTTTCAGAAGCGAAACTCCCTTAAAATGTTAAATGTATTTATTATGCTTGAAGCTTCTTAAGTCTACAGAATGCAAACTAGTTTGCTTTTATTTAGTGAGTGGTTATCAGGATATGAGAATAGGCTGTTTGTTTATCTCCTATGAGTCCAGTTAGTTTTCTTATTTGAAGCTGACTTGGCTGCAAATGCTGTAAAATTTGCAAAGGAATAGCTTGGGCTAATGGGAAAATTTTGGGGCAGGCGCATTCCCCTCCTTTCATCATGATCCACCCATGATTTTTCTAATAGGGAAAGTGCTTCCATCCTCTGGTACTTTTGCTTGCCATCTTCCCAAAACTTAGCATTACTTCTGCTCAGAAGTAATGTATTTGATTGGCCTTGATTAGGAACAAATTTGTCTCAGCATATTCCCCAAAAATGCATATTTCTTGTGAGTAAACATGAGATAAATTCTTAAAGCTCTCGGTAAAACCACCAGCAGAATAGGGATTAATTGGATACATATAATTAATGTTGTGATTCTATTTCTTTTTTTTTCAATATATAAAAAAAGAAAACCACACAAAATAGAAAATATTCAGTCCGAAACAAAATTAGCAATGGATGTTAAACTGCTCTTTTAGTCTCCATAATTTCCAATCTTTCTATTGATCATTTCCATGAAAATTTTGTGTTGTGAGGACATGGTGCGGTTGGTCATAATTTGTTTCAGACTGCTGCTAAGGACAACCCAAGAGCAAAATATGTGCCGCATAGCGTATACAGTATTCTGGCTGTTGTCATTTTATTCTCTGTAAATTGTTTTGGAACATACTGTATTTATTGAAATGCAGTATGCAAATAAAATGACTAAATTATGTAGATTTTGATCTACACATATGTGCACCAGGTGCAGAGTTTAGCTTTGGCATCTCAAGATACTCTTCAAAGGGGGGGGGAGAGAGATCAAGTAAGAACAGATAAATGAGCCACAGAACATGATCAGAGCACATTTTCTTCGTTACTGAAAAAGTATACAATATTCCTCCATCCGAGTGAAGGATGAGAATTTTGATTTAGTTCATTTCTGATAATTTGCCAAAATTTACAATATCCTATGGTGGGAGAAAAAGACACTGACAAATTTACTGACTTCATATACATCAAATTTGAGAAGAAGGCCTTCCAGAAGACAAAGACAGCAATTTCTGGACAGATCTGAACCTTGATATCTCTGTCCTGTGGAAGGAAATAGTGCCAAGGGTGTAATAGACTTTCCAAGACTCAGTAGCATGCTTAGCACATAGCACTTACAGCCATATGTTTGCAGCCTCACTGAATCTGCCTAGGATTGCTGGCTACTGCACTACCACACCCTGCGGAAGAGCAGCGATATCTAAATAGCCACCCTTCCTTCAAAGTATGGTTCAGGCTTGGTTTTAAGAAAGCTTCAAGGACTTGGAGAATCCTACTGCCAACGAACCTTGGTGGTTCTTTGTGGACTGGCACTTAGCACTCCAAGGCTTTTTGCTTCCCAAATGCTTTGAAAAAGTTTGCCGTTCAAAAGACATAACTGGCTTATGGTCTGAGCAGAAGAGCCAAATCACCCTCAGATTTTGGGCTGCAATGCTCCTGTTCAGGAAGGAGCTGCATCAAAAGATGCTTCAACACATGTTCTTTCAATGCTCTCCTTTTTCGCAATTCATATTTAAATATGCATTTTCTTTCTTATGTCCTGTCAAAATCAAGATTAATGAGGAACTGGAGGAGGATGAATTTATGGACAAACCAATGCAGAAGTAAGAATGATTTTGCCAGTCCCCTGATTTGTGATACTAGCTAAAACAATAAAGGGAAGTTGTAGCATCAGTCTGATCCAGTCTGGTTAAGCAAAGGGCCACACACAGGTCCCTGTGTTTTTAATCAAAAGTCTCCTGTTCACTAGTCCCACTCATTTTACTGTTTCAAAGCAAGCTTCTGAGTTGAATGGTATGACAGGGTTCCTCCTCTCTTTCCAGTGCTGGATCTTAACACGCAGGAGAGCATTTTAGTTTTAACATATTGGCCAAAATCTTTTTGTGTAGCTACACAAATCACATAATTTCTGGGGACAAACTGCCCCAGGAAATCATTGTTGATATTATCAGCTGCATGCTGAGTCACACAACCCAGTACACAACAGACAGTGCCTGCAGTGACTTCTTACCTTAAGGCAATGTGCCTCTAAAAGGTGCACTGTTTGTGTTACACCAGCTTAACTGAGCAAAAAGATATGGGTCACTGCCCTTCACCTTCACTAAACAGATACCTTGGGCCCTTTCTCTCTGATACAGTGGGACAGCTTACAGCATAGTAAACACATAGAATGCTAAGAACTGCCTATAGCTAGATATGCATGAACTGGTGATTTCACATAATTGTCTTTTGTGAATGTTAACAGACACTTTGAATTACACACACACACACACACACACACACACACACACACACACACACACACACACACACACACACACACACACACACTTTTCCACAACAGCCTTCTGCTTGTTCACGCCTGTTATTTATGTAGTTCAGCTCAGCCTGGCTCTGGAAAGTTATGCAAATACTATGCAAAATGTCTTCCCTCCCTGTTATTTTCACCCCTGATTTTTATCTCCTTATTTCTGTGCAGTGCATTAATGAGTTTTCCAGCAAAAGCGTCGCTGCAGCGTAATTTAACATGATCTAAGCTCATCCCTCCTTTAACATGTCTTAGGGATTCGTTTGCGTGACCCAGAGCTCTTCATGGAGAATTTCTTCAGTGTTAAATATGTAAATCCTTTTCATCTATCACCAGCTCTAAAAGGCCATTATATAAAGTCCCACATTTCCTCTTATATCAAGCATTTTATTCGGTCTCACTTACTCCATCCAAAGAAAGGGGGGAGACTCCAAGCTAAGGAATACAGCCAGACTCCTAATAGGATTAGCAAAGCCTTCTTCTTAGACATTACTCCAATGGAGGCCAGGGGTCGTGTAATCACAAAATACCTGTCGAGGGCGATCACTGTTAGAGTGATCATAGAAGCAATGCCAAAGAGGGCGCCACAGAAAGCGTATAGTTCACAACCTTTAAAAAAAAAAGAGCACAGGGGAGTTAGTAGGTAGACTAAAAGACTTGTTTTACTTTATTTAATTGATTTCATTTTTAAAGATTTGATTAATTTATTGATTTAAAGCCCTTGCATCCTGCCTACTACAGCAATGCCCTACGCAATGTATCTCTAACATCTTAAAACATGACATAATAGAAATAAAACAGGGGAAAAAAATAAGAGAGTTGCCTGAATGTATATATTGGGGAGTTGGTCAGATGTGAATAACATAATTCAGAGGAGCCGGCAAGCTCATGGAAATAACATGTATTTGCTGATCAAATACCATCACGTAGGGGACAGAGCAAACCTCTCTGGCAGGTCCAGCCATGTCATTAGGCAAGGTGAGGCGACAACTTCAGGTGACAGATGCTGGGGGTAATGACAACAATCAGTTGGGTTGGTCTGACTGACCTCCCCAGTTGCTCCCTTCTCTCGAAGGGCAGGGCAACTTCTACCACACAGCTGCCTCACACACAGGCTGGATGTTTCAAGTGTGACAGAAAATGCCAGTCCAGTTAACGTACATATCTGGAATGGGGAAGAGACGTCTTTAGCTAGGATGTCTTCATACATCTTCAGCTAGGATCTGCTTTTTAAATTCTCTCTTTAGGTTTTTCTCCCTTGTCTCTGTATTAGAAAAACAGGGCGGGCAGGTGGGATTGTCGGTTTATGCTATACAGTGGTGCCTTGACATACAAACTTAATTCATATTGGAATGGCGTTCGTAAGTCAGAATGTTTGTAAGTCAAAGCACCATTTCCTATAGGAATGCATTGAAAACCCATTAATCTGTTCTGGCTGAAGAAAAAAAATACCCCCCCCCAAATAAAAATAAAAATGTGCAAGCCCTAGGGCTGCAAAAAAAAATGAAACAAACCACAAAAAAACCCCACCAGCCCAATCGCACCCTGCAAAAGCCACCCAAAATAGTAAAAAGCAGCACACTTACCTCCCCACAAAGCCTCTTCTCAAGCCTCCCGGCCATGGTCAGCTGCCCAGACCCCACCGCCACCAAAACCACAGTCGGCGGGGAGCCATCCAGGAGCTCACCCAGCATTCCCCACAGCAGCGCAAGCCCCGCTGCCATCCAAACCAACAGCGGCAGGGAGCTGTCTGGGAGCTCACCCGGCCTTCCACCGCTGCCTAGCTTGGGCTCCACCACCAATGCCTGGCCAGGATGGGCCGAAGAAAAAATTACCCCCGCAAATAAAAATAAAAATCTGCAAGCCCCTGGGGCTGCAAAAAACAAAACACAAAAATAACCCCAAAAAATAACCCCACCAGCCCAATCCCACCCTGCAAAAGCCAGCCAAAACAGTAAAAAGCAGCATACTTACCTCCCCACAAAGCCTGCTCTCAAGCCTCCCGGCCATGGTCAGCTGCCCAGACCCCACCGCCACCAAAACCACAGTCGGCGGGGAGCCATCCAGGAGCTCACCCAGCATTCCCCACAGCAGCGCAAGCCCCGCTGCCATCCAAACCAACAGCGGCAGGGAGCTGTCTGGGAGCTCACCCGGCCTTCCACCGCTGCCTAGCTTGGGCTCCACCACCAATGCCTGGCCAGGATGGGCCGAAGAAAAAATTACCCCCGCAAATAAAAATAAAAATCTGCAAGCCCCTGGGGCTGCAAAAAACAAAACACAAAAATAACCCCAAAAAATAACCCCACCAGCCCAATCCCACCCTGCAAAAGCCAGCCAAAACAGTAAAAAGCAGCATACTTACCTCCCCACAAAGCCTGCTCTCAAGCCTCCCGGCCATGGTCAGCTGTCCTGGCCGGGAGTCCAGCCAGGAGCTAGAGGCCAGCTGGGATGGGTCCTTGCCTCCCAGCCAGACCCCCGCCACCGCCACCCCATCCCTTTCTCTAACCATTGGGGTGGAAGAGCTATAAAGAAGCAGCCTCTTTGCCACCAGCAGTTAGTCTTTTTGAATTTCCCGCCTCTTTCCCCTGCCTTTTTTTGTTCGTAGATCAAAGCTCCAGCCGCAAGTCAAAGCAAAATTTTGCGGCCGGAGCTGTTCGTAAGTCAATTTGTTCGTAGGTCAGGGCATTTTTAAGTCAAGGCACCACTGTACTAGTCCAGCCTGGGGCCCTTTAAATATGTTGTGCTATATCCTCCATCATCCTCAGCTATGGGCAGCATGGCCACTGTTTGTGCTAAGTGAGAGTGATTAAAGGAGGAATTTAAATCTAGCATCTGGAGGGCATAATATAAGAGGAAAGCTGTTAGGGGAGGAAAATTTATATATATATGTATACAGTATGATTATGACTATACTGAAATGTGTTGCTTCTGGCCTCATAAATGGTTTGGGCTGGCAAAAAAATAAAAATTTTATATATATAAAGGCTACAAGAGGTAGGAACAGACAGGGAATGGTTTGCATTTGTTCTATTGAAAAAAGATATAAACACCTCTAGCAAACCATCCATGAAACATTTGCAAGAACTGTAGTATTAAAAACATGTACATCATCCCCTCAGTACCTGGAGATCCAGCCCAGTCCATTCAAACTGAATCTTGCTCTATACATTGATGTATACCTTTTTTGCCAAATATCCATCGTCTGTTGAGGCTGTTGGTGAAGAAAACTGGACACTGGGTGATGGACATGAGAAAATCACTGACTGCCAGATTGATAATGAACATGTTGGCAGGCGTTCGAAGGCCTCTGCTCCTGTGGAGAAAAGGGAACAGAATGAACAGAAGTGGCAGTCAAGGATGTGGGACGTGAGGGGGGGGGTTCCTGCTGCTTTGTTGGCCTCAAAAGCTTTGTGTGCAGCTTCACTTGGGTCAAAATGGAGCAACAAACCAACATATTGATATTGATACTGCTATTCCTTTTCTCCTGGAAAGGATGTTACTAATGCCATGACCCTAAACATACTGGATCAGCCTGCTGGGCAGCACTGATTACCCATCTGGTGTGTTGATAACTGTCCAGAGTGACATCTCTAACAGGCAGAAATAGGGCATGACAGGGACATCTCTTCTGTTTTTGCTAATCCTCAGTGTAGACTGTAAATTGTAAAGTAAGAACAAATAGTATTGGTGTACTATGTTAAAGCAGAACTCTGTGGCCCACACTTAGAAAGGTAGAAGCTCCCCAGTTCTGGTTCAGCTTGTTCAAAATACAGTACTTCACATATACGCTCCCTGTATTTCCTTTACCAGGAAAGGAACGGAAAGTTACTATGCTAAAGCAGAACTGTGGAGCTGTGGCCAACACTTAGAAAGGTTAAAGCTCCCCAGTTCTGCTTCAGCTTGTTCAAAATACTTCACATATACGCTCCCTCTATTTCCTTTACCAGGAAAGGAACGGAAAGGAAAGGAGAACAGGTCAGAAGTCCATTCTGGTTCTGCTTTGCCCCATCACCAAACTTTACAACAATCTTGTAAGTAGTATAACCTTCTAAGTATAATGTTAGAAGGTGAGAAGAGAACATGGATTAATGTGGTTTAGTTAGATAATTGGATGAGAAAATGGGAAAAGCAAAATGACAAATGCTGGAAGTTGAAGAAGTCTGTGGAAATGATAATTCAAAGAGAGAAGGAAAAGGATAAGCCAATGAAAGGGATGCTGGGAAAAATTATAAGATATTGTCAGGAGTAGAAAACTGTCAAGAAGGTCTTAAAACATTATCGGAAACAGATCTGGCTAAGGAAATAGGTACTGACATGTGAATTAGTATATGGCGAAAAACATTTTAAAATCCGTATCTTTAAGAATAAAAGAAAATTATTACAAATTGATTTGGAGCTGGTACTACTGTGTTTCCCTGAAAATAAGACAGGGTCTTATATTAAATTTTGCTCCAGAAATGCATGAGGGCTCATTTTCAGGGGATGTTTTATTTTTTTAATATATAACAATCTACATTTATTCAAACATAGTCATGTCATCTTCTGGTTGCTGCACAATGCTACACAATGGTGGAGGATGGGGTTTCACTTAACTGGGGATTATTTTTGGGGTAGGGCTTATATTACGAGCATCCTGAAAAATCATATTAGGGCTTATTTTCAGGTTATGTCTTATTTTGGGGAAAACAGGGTGGAAACCTGTGAAATTAAATATCATGGGTTTAAATACTTCAAGGTATGCTGGAGATGTGGACAGGATGTAGGTATTTATTTCCATATGTAGTGGGAATGTGAAATAGTAATGACATTTTGGAAGTTAGTTTTAAAGAAATGGAAGAATTGTAATAGTAATGTTAGAGGTTTTCCAAAAAATTGCATTACTATTTACTTTTGAAGACCAGTGGGATTGGGCCAAAAAAGAGAGTTTATTATGAATTTGATAACAGCAGCCAGATTAGTGATTGTGAAAAACTGGAAACCTAGATTAACCTTCAATTAACTGAGGGCTCAATCACATGTGCCAAAAGAACCCTACTTGCACGGATTCTTTTTATCCCTTTTTTGAATCAATACATATTTACATGTGGCCACGTGGTATATACACTATTGGGCTGTGTGTTCAATTGATATATTTCTTGCTATTTGTACTGATTCTGTAGGCTGCATGTGCCTTCTCATATAAATTGATTCATTTGCCATCCTGTTTCTGGGGTTCCTCACTGCCCTAAAAAAACCCTCAAAAACCACTGTTAGCTGATGTGCTACCTGGGTTATGTGTCATTTGCAGCCCATCCTTCCTTTTTTAATTTTCACTTCTGATTCCTTGCTTCATTCTCTATTTTTCTTCCTCCTTTTAACTTCTCTCCTCCCCCACTTTTCTCTTTCCTCCTTTACCCACTCATTTCCTTTTCCTTATTTCCCTGCTTATCTCTCTTTCTCAGTTCCTGGCTTTCATTTTTCTTTTCCCTTTTGTACAGCGTTGGGAGGAAGAAGCGAGTTTTAAAAGACTTGCAAAGTATTGTGAAGAGCAGGGCTAGAGAGAGAGAGAGAGACAGAGAGAGAGAGAGAGAGAGAGATTTATGCAATGTCCCTTTCTTTATAATTCAAAGCAGGAAATCTCCCTTTCTCTGTTCAGGCACTCTTTCCTACAATGGGGGTGGGGGTGAGGAAGACTGTCTGAGCAATGTAGTCATGTTGTTTTTGTGGCTGCTGCTGCTACTGGCAATTTATCCATACCCTTAAAAAAATTAAGAGTACAACTTCAGTGGCCATGAAGTGGCCAAAGTACCCAAAAACCCAACCCCTTCACAAAGTAAATAAATTGACAGCAACGTTCAGAAGTGCTGAAACAAGTAATGAAGCAATACATGATCTGTGCATTTTAAAGCAACCTTCCCAGCATAGGGGAAAGAACCTGACTGGCTAGTCAAGTGAATCAATATTACCCATGCATCATGTGAATGGAAATTTATAAAACTATTTTAAAAAACAGCAGTATCGATATAACTGGTGTGCATTTGGCACATGTGATCAAACCCTGAATGGTATAATGAAGTGTGGGAAATTGCAGTTAATGACAGGTTGACAGGTAATGTCAAAAGAGAAGTAGTTTGTTGATATATGGTAGGACTTTTTGAACTTTGTATTATTGAAAAGAAAAGTTTGTTTACCTAAACAAGAGATAATGTCATTTTGGAAGGCATCATAATCAACAGTTTGAAGGAAATACTACTGGTCCCAATAGTGGGTGCACTAATTTTATTTTATTTGTTAAAGGAAATAAAAGTATGAAAAATACAAAGAAAAAATATTTAAAACTCAAAATACATAATACATTTAACATCAAGTGCACCCATCCATTAATATATTTGTACTGATTTTAGTTCATTTTCTTGAGTTCTAGTAAGATATATGTATTGTTTGTTTCCTTTTATGTTGTGTTTGTATATTGTTGAAATATTGTAAATAAAATGTGTTTTTAAAAAAATAAGCTTGTAAGTAGGGTCAGCAGTGCAACACATTTCCTATTCCCCTTTACATACTTTATGCGGCTCCTTCCTGTGCTCCATGACCTGCTACGCTACTGTCTGCCAAAAGCTGCTGATAATGAGATTTTGTTTTTCTTCTTCCCACCCAATCCCTTTTCTTTTTGTGTTGTGGCTTTTTTTTTTAAGACTGTAAGCCTAAAGGCAAGAAATGTCATTAGTGCTCTGGTAGCCATGTTCAACTGAGAAGCAAAGTAGAAATGCTTCTGATAATAAATGCACATGCGAGTGAGCCTGCCAGCTGATATAACACATTGAAGTACGTGAACAAAGCTTTGCTCACTAGCCCAGTGGCACAGACAAAATGCACGTCTCTTTCTGCTTTGCCCTCCTGTTCTCCTACGCTGGTGATTAACAGGAAATTAAAGTAGATGGACTATGGATTTTCTGCATCTGGGTCATACTGCAATGGGAATGCATTCTCCACTGTTGGCCAGATTAGCAGCAGCTTCCAGATACAGATTAACCCCAATGTTTTTACATTGCCTGCAACATTTTGTTTTGCACTAGTTACCTAGGCTTTGAAGCAAACAGCGGGAAGCCTTTTCTGTTATTCCTTTGCCAACTTACTCTGTTTTGGGGAAAACAAAGAGGTAGGCCTAGTCTTTTGCTCGACTGTTATTTTCAGTGTAGTTCACGGAATGGAGCATAGCTCTGGGGCTATTTCAAAATCTGGAGGACACCCTTCTTGCCTGTGACAACAACACATTTCGAGGCCTGTTCATTGTGAGAGCAGTTGTTCTCCATCTTTGGCCTTCCAAATGTCTTGGACTGCCATTCCCGGCTGCCTCAGTCGGCGATAAAGGATTGTGGTAGTTGAAGTCCAAAACAAATGGAAGGCCAGAGGTCAAAACTGTCTTTGTAAAGCAATTACCTTTACACTGGGCAGCTTGGCTTAGCTGGTGGATGCTGGACTACCACAAGCAACTTCCTGGAGTAAAGGGTTGTATCTCCCACAGCCTGCCCTCTAACCCCTAGGGTAGCCTGCTGCCTCATGTGCCATGCAGGACATTGTTCGAATGTTGTCAGTGTTGAAGAAGAAAGATTCCGCTGCTAACTGGTGTGTGTATGTGTTGGGCTGTTATTTGTACATAAAATGGGACAGGTGACATGCTGTCTGCTGCCTCAGGCAGAAAAATGTATTGGGCCACTTCAGGGCCATGTCACAGTCACTTTTTCCTGGGCTGTTCCCATGAGTCCATGATGTATACTGTATACACCATAGGCCTAATCAGTAGCCAGTCCCACGTCAGTTGCTTTTTAACCCTTACACATCCCTTCACATGGCAGAACGTCTCCATGGAATAACAGTTCTATACAGACACAGAAAAAGTGGATTTGAGAGTTTGTTGTCAGGGATTTGTAGGAATTCACAGATTTGTTGACAGATGTCATCCCAGATGCAGAGTTAATTAACCACCCCGGGTACAAACACAGAATGAGGTTGCTTAGCAGTTACCTCCGGCCCAAAGAGTTCTCCCTATCTTGAGCTCCCGTAGGAAAGTCTGTTCAGTGCTCATCCAAATAACATCTCTGTGCCTCTTTATAGTTAAGTTAGCTTTCAGTTTAAACTCACTGGCTAGACTTTTATTAGTGTTTGTGTATCTTGCAGCAGTATAGTGTAGCTAATTGACAAGTTGTTGGGGTACATCTCAATTGTGCAGACCAAGCACATGACTGAGACACAGTCTGGTGCTTCATCAATTAGTCACAATTTGCTGCAACAGTTTATGCAACAGGGATGGAACTTTCATCTTAACATAAATGGAGAAAAGACATGAATGAGGTTCTTAATCCATTCCCTATAGAGAGTCTCAGAAACACAAAATATTTGAAACAAAGGGGCATGGAAAATGTCATGTCCTTTTTGTGTTTTCCTCTTTCCTTGAAGCTTTCTTTATGCTTTCATCCTTTGTCAAATCACCATTTAATAAAGTTGCATTGTGAGGGCTGCTACCAGCAGCCAATCAGAGCATTGAGGAGCAAGGCAGCAGGAACTGTGAAGCTCTATAAAGGCCAGGATTGGTTGGCACCCAGCGAGGAGGGTGCTGTACTGCTCTGCTCTTTCTTTGCTACCTTTGGTCCTTGCAGGAATGGGAAACAGAAAACATGACTCTTCAAAATTGACCAGGAAGCTGGTGGTTGACGTGGCTTTTGGGAACTGGAGAAGGTTAGTAGATGGCAGGGATTCTCAGATTAGGTGGAGAAGGGAGTCAACAACAAGTTGCTTTGTGGGAAATATACAGACAAGGGAGCTGATGAGGAGAGAGACAGGAAAGGAGAGACCACTTGGGAAGGGGGAAAAAAAAAAAGAAAATGGGAACTTTTATATCCACAAGATCCAGTCATGTTTTCTGTAATAATAACAAACAGAAGGGAGATCCCACTCGCAAGCCTCTGTCATTATTGTTGCCCATCAATGATGTGGGGTTGAGGAGGCAACTACAGTACATATCGTTACTTAAGTGGCGGTGCTGGTAATTGTTTCACTAGGGAATAAGAGTCACATGTTTGTTTTGAGACTCTTGTTGGGGGAACTGAGTCTAGTGGAGTGGAGGGCTTGAGGTTTTTGCTTTCCGTTTTAAAAATATGCCATCTAGCAGCTACGTTACCTCTTTAAAAACACAGTTCAGCTGTGTTTGCACAAGGATTGCTTGCCGTGATGGACTTTGTGAATTATTTACAACAAAGGTGGAAAATCTTCCTTGTGACTGGGCCAAACGGGGAGAAATGAAAGAACCATGCCATCTAGCAGCTACGTTATCTCTTTAAAAACACAGTTCAGCTGAAGCCTGTTTGCACAAGGATTGCTTGCCGTGATGGACTTTGTGAATTATTTACAACAAAGGTGGAAAATCTTCCTTGTGACTGGGCCGAATGGGGAGAAATGAAAGAACCTGAAAGAGCTAGTCGTTTGCATGTTTAATTAAGGGACCAGCACAAGAAAGATTTGATAATGAAAATGCCACCCCCTGAAAGAACCCAAAAACAAAACAAACATGAAAGTTTTCAACATGCACTTCCCAATTTGTACATGAATACAAATAGAACTCTACTATTTGCTAACAGTTTCTCCATATAGAACCTTGTCTTTGTATGTAGAAAGCTAGCATCTAGGAAAAGAGAGAGACTGAAGCACTTTGCCATGATCTCTAGCTATTTTTTAAACTCCTCTTTGTGCTTTTGCATGTAGAAAAACATTCAGTCCCAAGTCCTCCCCTGCTCAATCTAATATTATATCGTCCAGGCATAAATTTAGTACTTCTATAAACTCTAGACATCTCTTGCTTTCTAATATCTATGTTTCCACAAACATGGAAAGCCTAGACTATTTGGCACAAAACTCTGGAGTCATCCAATAATATTCTGTCATTAACATCTAAAGAGTTTTTTTAAAATATTTGTTTATTACTTTATTTTATTTTACTTTTTGCTATTGAAAGTATCTCATTTCAAATGCCACAAGCTTCTTCTGGAATGGAAACACTGAAACTACTTTCATAAGTATTTACCCTTAAACAAACGCACACTGTTTGCATAGGTTGCTATTTCAAGGACTTCCTGTGAACTCATAACATATAAAGGTCTAACAAAACAGAATCAAAGCCAAGTATCCAACTCAAATACACAATTACATTATGCTAACTTAGCCCTGATCCCTCCCAAACAGGAATGCTTCTCAGCACCCTCCCCAGAGTGCTGTGATGCTCTCTGGAATATCTAAGGTGGCTACCTACATATTGTCAAAGAGGAATCACTAAAAAGAAGCAAAAGGATGGCACAGATTGGCATACACACACTCTATCAGTTGTTAGTGTTGTCTCAGCAGACAGAGCAAGAACACAGGTCCTCTGATCACAATCTTTCACACGTATAATATTACTTAACATACTGTATAATATCATATATATAAAGTGAGTGAGAATGATTGTGGTCAGGTGATCTCTATTCTTGCTCAGCCATTTGAGATGGTGCTAGCTACTGAAAGACACTATGAAACTTCAATTCTCTTTTCTTATTGTTCTTTCTCTTCTGAATATTCACACTCGAGGGAGAGTAGAGGAAATGTCTCTTAGTAGCAGAGGAAGTGTTGTATAGACATGGGCTGTTAGTCTCACAATAAAGCAGGAGAATCAGGCAAAACAAACAACTAATCTATATCGAAGATGGAAAAGCCAAAATCCTAATTCTAATCAAATAAGACACATTCCCTTGGAGCGCACATGGAAGAGGATTAATAGTATGTCTCCTCCGATACAGTCAGGGGGGGAAAGGGAAGAAAGAAAGAAGGCCCATCCAGAAGGGTGTGTGTCTTGGATCGATGTGGGCTGAAAACATGATGTATTTCCTGTGTACTTCCAGAATAACTCACCACAAGCTTCCATACTATGTAATGAGTTTCTTTTGAATTATGTTTACACACGACACACCTCCTTTTCCCTGTTCATTTCCCTCTCATGCCCTCCTCACTCTGAGTTTATCCCTAACATGGTGAATGTCTTGTAGAGTTTGAAAGAGAGTCTAGAGTTGTTAACTCTTTTTTTTTTGCAAGATAAAACAGCATCCTGTTTAAATTGATTCTGCCAGGTAAGAAGCAAAGGGCAAGAGGCAGCTATGCTAGGGGGAACACTCCTACCCTCCCACCTCCATTTAAAGAGTCAGCCAGAAGCAGCCATGTTGAAAACACTCCCACACATGACATCACAACTGATCTCAGGGGAGTTCTGATGCCACATGTCACCACAAGACTCAAGCTTCTCCAAGAGAAATGGACAGACAGAAATAACAGATATCATTCATGCTGCCAAGAAAAACACAGTTTCTAAGCAAAAGGAAAATAATCCTGCAATGGAGGGGAAGTAGGAGAGGATGATTCAAATCTGATGTAACATCATGTAGATATGCTAAGCTAATTTGAATCAATAGGTAACTGAACCTCTTCTTCGACAGAAGCAGATTGAGTGTGTGGATGAGCTCTAAGAGCCAGATTGGAGAAGAACTGTTTAAAATCGATGCAGGAAGTGGAAGTCAGAGAGTCAAAAGGGCAGACAGGATCTTTGGCTTTATTACTCCCAAATGCACTGTGTGGTCACTTGGGCTGGATACATGTTAAAAGGTGATACTTGGAAGATCTCAACCCAACATTTTCAACTGGACTTAGACATCAAATTGCCCATTTTTGGGGCCTGGGCCCTCAACTGAGGACCCAGGGAATTGCTATGCTTCCTGGGTCTCTAGCTAGGGAGAGGAATTTCAGAGTGAGCAGCACTGGGAAAGAAAACTTGATATTTGCATGTGATATATCTCAGTGCCCTTTTTCACATGGCGCCAGGGCTCACCGAGCAAAGGTATTTGTGTGTTGGGCTTGTTTCCCTCCCAATCCTGCACTGCTTCTGCAACATCACAAGGATTGTTCCCATGACATCAGAAGGACCTGGCAAATCTGTCTACAGTGTTTAGCCTATTTGGAGGGATACATTCAGCACCTTGGAGAGCTCTTCTAATGTTCAGACTCAAATCAGACTGGTGTCATCATCTCTCCTGCCCTGATCTTAAGTTTTGGCCCTGAAATCTCATGGTACAGTGGTACCTCGCTAGATGATGACCCCGCTGTACAATGAATCCACAGGGTGGTGACTTTTTTGCGATCACTATAGCAATCGCAAAATGATGTTTCCTATGGGGGATTTTCGCTTGACGTTGATTAGGTCCATGCTTCGCAAACCATTTGTTTGCAAGACGATGTTTTCCGGCTCCGCAAAATGGCTGCCCTATGTTTTCTGGACCCATGCTTCGCAGGGCGGCCATTTTAACAGCTGATCGGCACTCGGAAAGTGACTTCCCCTGTGGGCGATCTTTGCTGGACAACGAGGTAATTTCCCCAGATGGGGAAATTGTTTTCGCTGGATGCTGTTTTCACTTAACAGTGGTTTCAGGGGAACGGATTATCGTTGTGGTGCAGGGCACCACTGTATAGGATGCTATAGACCTGGCACCCATACCTGGGCTGAATAAAGCTTCAAATTCAGGATCATCCTCTTTATTGCATGAGCTAGGATGTGTGTTCCACAAATACTGTACAGCAGAAAGTAACTGTATTTAATACCTGCAGAAAGCATAGATGACCAGGAGGTTACCAAGAGTCCCTGTGATCCCCACTGCAAGAATGACACCTCCAATGGTATAATGTGCATGGGCTGGCACGTCTGCTGTTGGAAAGGGGTCCGGAAGGTTTAACATGGTGTGTTCCTACAGGGAAAAGAGAATGGCAGAAGTTCAGAAGAGCATAATTTGTCTTCCAGCAAACAGCAGCTGTTTCAACACCTCTCTAAGATAAAAAATAATATTAGAATCTAGATGGAACAAACACCTTGGAGAAACTCATTCTTTTCAAAGCTATATTTATTTTTGCTCAGCCTTTGAACACAAATACAGTAGATATGGTCAAAACAGATGAGCCAAAGGGCTATTTTTGTTTGCATTTCCAGCTTGATGAGAGTGTGGAGTTTGTATAAAAGAAAACTGAGAGGAGTGTCCCACTCTTTTAAAAAGACAATACAGAGAGATAGATTTCACATATCTATATTACAAAAGCTTTGTTGTTTAAATGACCTGTTTTCATCATCCCTAACAAGTGAAATTCAATTTGGCAAAAATTATTTATTTGGGTTTCCTAGCCCAAGTATCTTGTTCTTATTTTTTTAATTCTTATTCTTATTTGAAACAAAAATTTGTACCAATTTAATCCAAACTCAACAAAAAAAGATGGAAGCCTCTCTCTGTATCCATTGGGCAAATCAAGCAAATTTGAATACACATATTGATCTGCATAGTCAATTTCACTACTGTCAATAAAGGGGCCGCAGAGGGCATGGAATTCCTAATCCAGCTGTTGCAAGGTTTGTTCAGCTAATCCTCTGGCTTCCAAGATTTCAGTATACTTTGTCTGCTCAGTGTTTTCAGCTGTATTGTCTCAGCCGAAAGGGCTAGAACCCTGCATTTTAAAAGACTGGAAATCTGAGGTTCAAAGAGTGCTGAATTCCTTGTCCTGTTCTTTGACCCTTGGAGAAGAGCCACAGCTCAGTGATAGAGAGTGCATGCTTTGTTTCTCAGCATCACGAAATATTTACGGGAAAGACTGTCCAGTTGGAACCTCTCCTAACCCACGTAGATAGTACTGAGCTAGGTGGCCAGTGATCCAACTTGGGAAAAGGCAACTCCAATGTTCTGAGACTACATTCTGTGACTTTTCACATTGTGCGTGGGACCCACATTGTGTTAAACACATGGTGACTTTGTTGATGTATAAACCAGGGCAAGGAGGATCTAACAAGAAATGTCTGGAGGAAGGAAGTTCCACCACTCTTTCAAGAACTAGAGTGTAGCAAGAGCAAAGAGCTTACAGTTTTCTTTTGCACATTTCTTTCTTTTAGTAACATCCTGCTCTTGCTTATTTATATGCAGAATAATTAGAGGTTGTCAGAAGAGAAGGAAAAGAAATGATCCAGGATCACATTTCTTTATGAAGATAACATGCAGCATACATACAGCACTGATGTTACCCGTCTGTCTGCGCCTCTCAATACTGGCAACAGGACAAAGTGCATCTTAGCCTGGAAATCTACATATTTCTAAAGCTTGTGATGAATTTGGCAAAGAACAAATGTGCACAAAACCATGCATACTGTGGGCAAATGTGCATGATGAAAATAAGGATATGAAGAATGTGCATCAAACACACAGATGGTAATGCTCCATGTTAATGAGACAGTGTATTTCTTTTATCTGACAACATTTTTGTCCAGTGTTTTTATCTTTCAAAGTAAGTGCTTGAGAAATCACATGTGTAAAAGAAGCTGTCCTTATCTCCAGGAGACAGAAGTGTTTGCAGATTGAAATAAGTTTGTGTTAGAACAGTCTTTTACCTCTTAAAAGAGTTCTGCTCCAAATAACATGTTAACTGTACTGTTTTGTTCATTCCATGGTCAAAGGAAAATACATTGTAAAATCTATACATTCGCAAAAAAGAACACCCTGATACATATGAATTTCCATGGAGGAGTGGGAAGAGGGAGTTAGGCAATCTGAAACAGAACTGAGACAGAGTAAACATACCAGTGAGTTCTGAGAAATGCAATGGAAATGAAGCTACCTATTTTTTTCACTTCCCTAGATGCTACAGAGTTTGGTCAAAAAGAGTGAATTCACTTTGTAGTCAATTCCCTAATCTGCCTTTCATTTCCCTGCCATCTTGCTGATTTTTGTTGTTGTTGTTGTTGAACACCTCATGATTTTTAAAACAAAGGATCTTGCCATAGCTATTCTTGAAAGAATCTTCAATAAAGGCAAAGCCAGGAAAAGAAAAGAAAAGGGGCCATAGGGACCATGAATTAAATGTGAGATCTGAATGGGGTAATATCTTTCTTGGGCCTTCAAGTATATTTTTGAAAGATGATTTGTCAAACCTTCAAGGCTCTTAATCAGCCTGAACATTACAGAACTTGGGATGAAAGTCCAAAAAGATATGGCCATTTGGGTGATTATATATGCTACATTCAGAGGAATGCTGTCAAATGCACTTAGTCTAGAAAGGAAAAAACAGAAAGAGCTGGGTGGCCATTTTGTAAGAAGGCTGTGAGATGTCACCATGTTTCACTAACCAAGAAAGAAAGAATTAGGTGCAGGAAAATAACATCCCTGCATCTGAAGCTTCAGGCCACTTGGTGCCAGTATACCTTCACTACTTTGATAGAGGGTTAAGACAGCATTCAAGCTATAGCATTATCAGTTGAAGAATCCGAGCTCTCTTTATGTTACCACAGAAAACAAAACAGGAACACATTGCAGATGCTTCCAGACAACAATGAAAGAAAAAGGCAGAGAGCATTCTGTTAGGCTTGATCCAAGCAGTTGCTCTGGAAGGGGCTTTTAGAGGAGCAATTTTTTCTTAGCCATCTTTTCTTACTAAGACAAAAAAGACTGCTTGCTCAAATTGCTAACAGGCCAGCTGGTAACAAACAAGTGTACAAGCAAGACCACACTGTGATTTAGTACAGCTTCATCCAGTCTTGTGTCCTGCAAGCATGTTGAGCTTCAGTGTCCATCACCCCAGTCTGTGCCCCCATGCTAGGAGGTATGTTCCCATCCAGCACATGGAGAGGGGGAAGGTTTGGAGGAAATCTGATCTAGAACACTGTTGGGGAATGTGTAGCCCTCCAGCTTTTGTTAGACTACACATTCCATTGGACCTAGCTATTGCACCTTGAGATGATGGATCATGGGGCTTCTAGCACCACATTATTTGTTTGTTTGTTTGTTTGTTTGTTTGTTTGTTTATTTTTACTCTGCCTTTCTCCCTGTAAAAAGCCTTGAGGAAGGTTACAAATGATTTGGAAACAAAAATATTAAAACAGTTACAAATATAACAAATCACATAATTAAAAATCCAAAATGTATTGATTTTGAGAAAGTATGAAAGTATGAAATAAACTCCCTTTAAAACAATTTAAAAGACACATGGAAAAAAGATGAAAACAACTCCCTGAGCTTAGCATCCATTCAGCAATTTATATATTTTAAAAAGTCTTTGTCTTCTGGCAGGAGTAGAGCACAGAGAGAACCAGTTTGATCTCCTGTGGGGGGCATTCCATAGCGTGGGCACAGCCCTCAAAAAGTTAGTTTCCCTTGTTCTTACCAACCATGCTTGTGAGGGTGCTAGGATCAAGAGAATGCACTTTCCACTGTTTAGAGTGGTCAATGTTAAAGACTTTTTTAAAAGCTTGGGGATTTGGCAAGAAATTCACAGATGCAATAGATCAATTATATTTGAATAACACTTCTGCAATAACAGTTAATGATGGAATAACAGAACAGATTTCCTTAGGTCGAGATACAAAACAAGGTTGTCCCCTTTCCCCAGTTCTATTTAATTTAAGTTATTGAAATGTTAGCGAATGCAATCAGGAATGATAACTTAATTAAAGGTATAGGTAAGAACAATAAAATAAAGATTAATTTATTTGCAAATGATTCATTATTAACTATTAGTAACCCCTTAGAGAGTGTGGATAGAATTAAAAACCATTTAGAAAAGTTTGAGGAAATAACTGGATTACAAATAAAATGGCGAAAATTGGAAATGATGTTGTTTAATCATAATAAATTAAAACAGGAATTGTTTGTTGATAAATATGATTTCAAGATATGCAATTCAATTAAATATTTGGGTGTAGATATTTTAAAGGATATTCAGAAAATAAAATAACATAATTATAATAAATTTAAAAGGAATATTAAAAATAAGTTACAAGAATATTCTAATTTGAAGCTTGAAAAATTCTTTAGGATGAAGTGAGTGAGTAGACTAAAAGACTGGATGGAAAAAATGAGACTGAAGAAACAAATGAAACAAATTCTTTAAAGTAAGGATCCAACTTGGTTAAACTATGATCAATTAGAGAAATGGACTAAAGAATGGATAAAGAATAATAATAAATGTAGAGAATATATGAAATATGAACAAGTCCTTTTAACCAATGAAAATATACAAAAGGATGATTTAGTGAAAGGTGTAGTAAGTAAAACATAAAATAATTATGGAGTTGGAAGAAGATGAGACTGATAGTGAAGTACTGAAAGAGGTATGGGGGCAAGACTTTAAAAAATAAATAAAACAAGAAGACTGGGAAATGATATTACGATATGTGTCAGTGAGAATAAAAGAAAATTTCTATTAAATAGTTTTAAGATGGTACTTAACACCGGTTAAATTGAGTAAAGTAAATACTAAATATTCAAGTGTTTGTTAGAAATGTGGTAATGAAATTGGTACATATTTTCACTTTGGTGGGAGTGTGAGAGGGTACAAACATTTTGGAAACTAATTACTAAGGAATTAAGAAATATTTTTGATAGAGATATAAAGTTGAACCCAGAAATGGCTTTGCTATCAATATTTGTTACTGAATATTATGATTTTACAACTAGAGAATTGCTTACTAATTTATTGTTTGCTGCAAAATTAATCATAGCTAGGAATTAAAAATCTAAACATGAATTTCAACTGGAAGAATGGTACAATGAACTTTAGAACCTTGCTGTATATGATAAATTGACGTATTCTAAAGGTTAATAAAGGAGAGATAAAGAAAGATTTTTTATGATATATGGGGTGGATTTATTGAATCTGTGTTAATAAGAGGAAGAGGTAAAGTCCCAACACAAGGATCAATGCAGTTCTGGAAAGGAGG